GGCCCCTGTGGAGTGGAGGAAGGGATCCGAGACCCTCAGAGCCGGGGACAGAATCAGCCTGAGGCAGGACGGGGCCGTTTGTGAGCTGGAGATCCGTGGCCTGGCCGTGGGGGATGCCGGGGAGTACTCGTGCGTGTGCGGGCAGGAGAGGACCTCGGCCACGCTGACCGTCAGGGGTAAAGACCGTGTGTGGCCGGGCAAAACTGTGTTTTGGCGTCCAATTATTGACCTCCTGACATCTGTCTGCATTTGTTCCATGTTCTCTCACCATCTCAGTGTCACCCTCTTCCCATAACTCCATGGAATTTCTTCCACTTTTCTGGGCTGTTGTAGAAACCATGAGAAGCCAGCATCTAAGCCACTTCCCACCCCTTGTGTCACCACTGGTTCAGTCCTTTTGGAGTCCTCTGTCATGTCATGTCCTGCCTCCAAAGTTCTCCAGAGAATCTCTTGTTCTGTGTGTGTTTCCAACCCTCCCAACCCTGACCACTGGATTCATACAAAGTATGAGGCTTGAGGCAGCCACAGAGAGGACTAAACCATCTTGTACAAATACTGGGCTGAGAGAAGCCACAACCCACGGCGTGTGCTCAGCACACTCAGCACGTTGCCTGTGTCCACTGGGATTTTTTGTCATCTCTGCGTCCGTGTCCCTTGTCTTCCACATGCTCAGAATGTGATGTTTTCTGTATCTTTCTGACTCCCTAGCTCTGCCCGCCAAGTTCACAAAGGTTCTGAGGAAGGAAGAGGCCACAGAGGGGTCCACAGTCATGCTGCACTGTGAGCTGAGCTATGCAGCCCACGTGGAGTGGAGGAAGGGGCCTGAGACCCTCAGAGCCGGGGACAGAGTCAGCCTGAGGCAGGATGGGGCCGTGTGTGAGCTGGAGATCCGTGACCTGGCCATGGCAGACACTGGGGAGTACTTGTGCATGTGCGGGCAGGAGAGGACCTCGGCCGTGCTCACTGTCCTGGGTAATGACGAACTTTGGGCACTTGAGTGACCTCTCTGCTTCTCATTCTCTGCCCTCCTCATGTCTCTCGATGTTACTGTCACCTCAGAGTCACGCGCACCATTTGTCTGATCCATCTCATAAGCACACACTGAGAGTATACTGGTCTGCCCTGTCTAGGCCCTGGGGCACAGATCCCATGGGTACGTGGTGCAGAGATCTACAGGGAGGCACCAGCAGACAGGCGTCAGGGTCCATGAGGGTTGCCCGCAACAGCTTCACGTGGCTGAGGCTGCAGAGATGTGGAAGGTTTGGGCCCAGGCATGGAATTGAGGGCTTGCATGTCATTTGATGGACATTCACAGGAGGACTGAGGTGGAGTATCGGGGGGTTCAGAGAGGAAGTGGCCAGACAGGCCAGGCCCTCTTGTGTCTGGTGACAGCATTGGATCCACCCTTGAGGTTGTGTGGAGCCTCTGAAGAGCTGTCTCACTCAGCTAGGGATGTATAACAAATACCAGACAGTGACTTAATAGACATTTATAGTCTTGCAATCTGGAGGCTGGAAGTCCAAGATCAAAGTGTCGGCAGGGCTGGTTTCTCCTGAGGCCTCTTTCCTTGGTGTGTAGACGGCTGTCTTCTCCGTCTCCTCATCTCCTCTTATCACCTCTTCTTATAAGGACACCAGTCCTAATGACCTCATTTACCTTAATTATCTCTGTGAAGACCTCATTTCCAAATGTGTTTACATTCTCAGGTCCTGGGGGTTAGGACTTCAACATATGAATTTGAGGGGAGACAGAATTCAGTCCATAACTCTCTGCCCGTCTTATCACCCCAAAATGCATGTCCTTCTCACATGCAGGATACATTCATCCCATCCCCAAAGCCCAAAAGTCTTAACCCGTTCCAGTGTCACCTCTGAGTCCAAAGTCAGATCTGAATATTGTCTAAATCGAGTGTGGCTGAGACTTGAGATACAATTCGTCCTGAGGCACAATTCCTCTGCAGCTGTGAACTTGTGAAATCAGACAAGTTATGCACTTCTAAAATACAGCTGGGGGACAGGCGCAGGATAGATGTTTGCATTCCAAAAGGGAGAAGGAAGAAAGAGGCCACTGGTGCCACAGAAGCCCAACACCCAGCAGGACAAATTCTGTTAGATTTTAAGTCTGGAGAATGTTCCTCTGGCTCAATGCTCTGTCCTCTGGGCCCACCAGAGTGGTGACCCTGCCCCCTTGGCCCTGGGAAGAGGTGGTGTGGCCCTCTGAACCTATGGATGCAGTGGCAGCTCTGCCAACCTTTGAATTGCCTTTGGAGTCATTTTCTCCCGTTCTTGAAGGATAACATATGTTCACAGCTGGATAACTCTAGTAACCCATCTTTTGGAAATCCCAGAACTCCGACAGCCCCCATCGCTTCATCCATTCTCCGTCCTATTCAGTCATGGTTGGCAGCGTTTCTGCTGATATAAAATTCTCAAAAGCCTTGTTGGTCTCCCATGCAATCCACAGGAGTCCAAGCCATCAGGCAAGAGGGTCCCCCACACATCCTTCCTGTATAATCCTATTTCTATTCCCAGCTTCTGCTGAGAGGGCTGGTTGGATCCAGGACTCACACTCAATCTCTTTACCAAATGATTTTCCAGCCACACCCTTGGTGTTCTCTACAGAACATGGTTTCTCCCTTTTTGCAATTTGGATCGACTAAAAATTTTCTAAATTTTCAACTTCTGGTTTCTCGTTGCTTGACAATTCTCTCTTCAACTTCTCTCATTGTACTATAGGCAGCAAGGAGAAATCAGGCTGCTCCCTCAACATTTTGCTTAGAAACCTCCTCAGCTAAATATCCACATTAACTCACAAGTTCTACCTTCCACAAAACTCGAGGACACAACTCAGCAAGTACTTGTCTGAGGACCTTTATGAAAAGATCGCTGGCTTTATAAAGGATCACCTGTTTTAAGTTTCCAGTAACGTGGTCCTCACTTCCATTTGAGGCCTTACCAGAAGCACCTTTAATGTCCGTATTTCTACAAATAACGTCTTCAAGGCAATCTTGATTTATCTAACACGCCCCTCAGAACTCTTCCAGCTTCCACCCATTCCCCAGTTTCAATACCACCTCCACAGTTTTAGGTGTGTGTCACAGTAGCACCCCACTCCTGGTACCAAAATCTGAATGGCTCGACAACATAACTCTGGCTTAAACATCAAAAATTTATTTCCTCCCAGTCCTGGAGGCTGGAAGTCTGAGATCTGGGTATCAGCAGGGCTGGTTCCTCCTGAGGCCTCTCTCCTTGGTGTGTAGACGGCTGTCTTCTCCCTGTGTTCTCACGTGGTTGCCCCTCTGTATGTCTGTGTCCTCATCTCTCCTTATAAGGACACCAGTCATGTGGGATCAGGGCCCACCCTAGTGACCTCATTTTGCCTTAATCACTTCTGTAAAGACCCATCTCCACATGTAGCCCCCTTCTGAGGCCCTGGGGGCTGGGACCCCACCATGTGAATGTTAAGGGGATCCAGCTCAGCCCATGACAGGGTGTAACCAGGCTGGGCCCTGTTCAGCTATAACCTGTGAAGCTGACACTCTGCCTGGAGTCGGCATGGAGAAGAGGCTGGCAGGTCAGCAGGACGGAGGTATCATTAGGAGGCCACGACTGGAGTCCACGGGGTCTAAGTGACCTGAGCCAGGAAGTGGGGGTCCAGCGGAGTCAGGACAGGAAAGTGTGAGCTGGAGGAGGCAGAGCCTGGGCGGGGCTGGCATGCTGTGTGCCCAGGTGTGTCCAGGTGTGGGCAGTGCTAGATGGACGCCCTACTTGGGATGGGCAGCACATAGTGAGGGTGATGATGGAGTGGTGGATGTCCTGACCAGAAGGTGCCTCTGGGAGGTTCTCCTGGGAGAAGTGTCCGTTGCATTGCTGCATGGGAGGGTGGTGAGCTAGAGGAGCCTGGCTGGGAGATGTGGGTACAGGAGAGGTCAGTCCTTAGCCAGTATGAAAGGTCATGGGTGGGACAAGGTGCCCTTTAAGAAGACAAGACGCCTGGGTGGGGTCAGTCTCCTACTGCCCTATGCCTTGGCAGGCAGGACACAGGAAGACCTCACTGTCACACATGCATTGGTCTGCCTCCTCCCACGTGCCCAGCCTTCCTGCTTCTGTTTCCACCCTGAGTGTTCACATCATGCCCCCAGTCCTCCAGAGGAGTTGATGGATTCTGTCCATCTGATCCTCCCCAGCCCTGCCTGCTAAGTTCATCCAAGAACTGAAGACCAAGGAGGCCATGGAAGGGACCACGGCCACACTGCACTGTGAGCTGAGCAAGGTGGCCCCCGTGGAGTGGAGGAAGGGGTCTGAGACCCTCAGAGCCGGGGACAGAGTCAGCCTGAGGCAGGATGGGGCCGTATGTGAGCTGGAGATCCGTGGCCTGGCCGTGGCAGATGCCGGGGAGTACTCGTGCGTGTGCGGGCAGGAGAGGACCTCGGCCATGCTGACCGTGAGGGGTAAAGACCGTGTGTGGCCGAGCAAAGCTGTGTTTTGGCGTCTAATTATTGACCTCCTGACATCTGTCTGCATTCGTTCCATGTTTTCTCCCCATCTCAGTGTCACCCTCTTCCCACAACTCCGTGGAATTTCTTCCGCCTTCTTGTTGTGTGAACCACAGGAAACCAGAATCTAACCACTTCCCACTGTTGTGTCACCGCTGGCTCTGTCCTGTTGCCCTGTCGGAGTCTGTGTATTTTCCTCCGTCCTGTCACATCCTGTCCCCCAACACTCTCCAGAGAATCTGATGTTCTCTGTGTTTTTCCAAACCTCCCCATCCCTTCCCATCAGTTTCATACAAAGCATGAGGCCAAAGGAGGCCATGAAAGGGGCCACAGCCATGCTCCGCAGGCTGGGCTGGGGAAGCCGCAACCCAGAGCACGTGCTCAGCACACTCAGCACGTGGCCTGTGTCCACGTGGGTCTTCTGTCATCTCTGTGCTGTCCACATCCTGTCTCATCTGTGTGCTCAGAAAGCATGATAGGGCCAGCCCCATGGCTTAGCGGTTAAGTGCGCGCGCTCCGATGCTGGCGGCCCGAGTTCGGATCCCAGGCACACACCGATGCACCACTTCTCTGGCCATGCTGAGGCCGCGTCCCACATACAGCAACTAGAAGGATGTGCAACTATGACATACAACTATCTACTGGGGCTTTGGGGGAAAAATAAATAAATAAAATCTTTAAAAAAAAAAAAAGAAGAAAGCTTGATAGTCATGTCTTTCTGGCCCTCAGCCCTGCCCACCAACTTCACAAAGGGTCTGAGGAAGGAAGAAGCCACAGAGGGGGCCACAGCCACACTGTGCTGTGAGCTGAGCAAGGCGGCCCCCGTGGAGTGGAGGAAGGGGCCCGAGACCCTCAGAGCCGGGGACAGAGTCAGCCTGAGGCAGGACGGGGCCGTGTGTGAGCTGGAGATCCGTGACCTGGCCGTGGCAGACACTGGGGAGTACTCGTGCGTGTGCGGGCAGGAGAGGACCTCGGCCACGCTGACCGTCAGGGGTAAAAACCGTGTGTGGCCGGGCAAAGCTGTGTTTTGGCATCCAATTATTGACCTCGTGACATCTGCCTGCATGCGTTCCATGTTCTCTCCCCATCTCAGTGTCACCCTCTTCCCATAACTCCATGGAATTTCTTCCGCTTTCCTGGGCTGTTGTAGAAACCATGAGAAGCCAGCATCTAAGCCACTTCCCACCCCTCGTGTCACCACTGGTTCCATCCTGTTGTCCTGTTGGAGTCTGTGTCTTTTCCTCTGTCCTGTCATGTCCTGCCTCAAAAGTTCTCCAGAGAATCTGACGTGCTGTGTGTTTCTGACCCTCCCTACCCTGCTCACTGGATTCATGGAAAGCATGAGGCCTGAGGCAGCCATGGAATGGACCCCAGCCACACTGTGCACATACTGTGCTGAGGGGAGCCACAACCCATAGTGTGTGCTCAGCACACCTAGCACGTGGCCTGTGTCCACTTGGGTTTTTTGTCATGTCTGTGCTGTCCATGTCCTGTCTCATTTGTGTGCACAGAAACCATGACAGTCCATGTCTTTCTGACTCTCTCAGCCCTGCCTGCCAAGTTCACACAGGGTCTGAGGCATGAGGAGGCCACGGAAGGGAACATGGTCACGCTGCACTGTGAGCTGAGCAAGGCGGCCCCTGTGGAGTGGAGGAAGGGGTCCGAGACCCTCAGAGCCGGGGACAGAGTCAGCCTGAGGCAGGACGGGGCTGTGTGTGAGCTGGAGATCCGTGGCCTGGCTGTGGCAGACACCGGGGAGTACTCGTGCGTGTGTGGGCAGGAGAGGACATCAGCCACGCTGACCATCAGGGGTAATGACCACATATGGTCACTTGGACTCGCTTAGGTGCCCATTCTCATCTCCTTGTGTCTTGTACCCACTGGCTCCCCATGTGTGCTTGCCTCTCTGTGCTTTGGACAGCTTCCTTCTGTCCCTGTCTGCTCACCCGTCACGGCATTGTCTGGTTGTCTATTGGCTGGGTGCAGATCTCCATCTGGTGACCTCATGTGGCCAGTGCTTGTGGTAGGGACAGAATTCCCACCTCGTGCCTCTCCCCTGTCTTAATCCACCCAACTTTTCCCCATCCCTCACAGCCTCTAGTCAGGGTCTGAGGGTCGTGGCCCTGCCCTAGGGGTCTGACGGGACCCCCTACCCTGATGACCTGGAGGGACACAGCCCTGTCCATGGGTGTCCTGGGTGGAAGCCACATGACAGTAGCCCTGGCTGGATCCAGAGCTCCTCTCACAGCCCCCACCATGGTCCCTCCTTCCCTTGAAGGGGACCCAGACCCATGACCTGCTCTGCCACCCGCAGCGTCTGGAGCTCGTGGCAGTGGGTCCTGAGGGCAGGCCAGGCAGCTGAGGTGAAGCCACTGGCCATGCCTGGCCTGCCCTCAGCAGGGCTGACTGGGTGTTGGGGTGCCTGTCTCGGGGCTGACCCTGTCTCCCTTCTTCCCGTAGCCCCACAGGTGGTGTTCAGGAAGCCGCTGCAGAGCCTGCAGGCTGAGGAGGGCGCCATGGCCAGCCTGCAGTGCGAGCTGTCTGAGCCCAGCGCCACCGTGGTCTGGAGCAAGGGCGGCCTGGAGCTGCAGGCTGAGGGGCGCCGGGAGCTGCGGCAGTGGGGCCACATGGTGGAGCTGGTGCTGTGGGACCTGCGGCGGGAGGATGCTGGCGAGTACACCTGTGCCTGTGGCTCCCAGGCCACCAGTGCCACCCTCACCATCACAGGTGGGCCCCAAGGCCCTCTGTGCAGGGCCTGCATGCTTTGGGGGGACCCTCTGGGCTGCACCCCCACCCTGGGAGTCCCACAGTGGGGACACGGGCTCACGCAGGGCCGGCAGAGCTGGCCTGAGGCTCTGCCCCCCACCACTCACCCCCACCCTGTAGCTGCACCTGTACCAACCTCACGCTCTCTCCCCACCCGGTAGCCATGCCCGTGCGGTTCCTCCGGGAGCTGCAGGCCCAGGAGGTGGATGAGGGCGCGACAGCACGCCTGTGCTGTGAGCTGAGCCGGGCGGGCGCCAGCGTGGAGTGGCGCAAGGGTTCCCTGCAGCTCTTCCCCTGTGCCAAGTACCAGATGGTGCAGGAGGGCACAGCCGCTGAGCTGCTGGTGTGTGGCGCAGAGCAGGAGGACGCCGGCCACTACACCTGCGACACGGGCCACGCGCAGAGCACGGCCAGTCTCTTGGTCCGCGGTGAGTTGCCCACCAACCCCTGCCCTCCCCAGGCTCCTCCACCCCCGTGGAACAGGCAGTCTTGCTCAGTGGCCCTAAGTGCCCTCCTTGGCCCCCCAGCCCCTAGGCCCACGTTCGAGACGGAGCTGCAGAGCGCGGAGCAGGAGGCAGGCAGCGTGGCCCGGCTGCACTGTGAGCTGAGCGCGGTGGAGCCTGGGGTCCCCGTGCAGTGGCTCAAGGAGGGCGTGGAGCTGCACGGGAGCCCCAAGTACGAGATGCGGCGCCAGGGGGTCACGTGCGAGCTGCTGATCCACAGGCTTGAGGCCAAGGATGCGGGCGAGTATGCCTGTGTGGTGGGCGGCCAGCAGACCTTGGCCTCCGTCGTGGTCAGAGGTGAGCCCTCCCTATTACATCCACTCCCTCTATAGCTGCCACGCCTGCTGCCCCAGCGCCCCCTCTCACCAGGCGCTGTTGCAAGGGTGACTCTGAGGCCCCTGGGGTTACAAGCTCTCTCTGGTCATTTCTGCACCACTCCCATCCTGACGGCCCCAGAAGAGTGCCGACACTGGGGAAACTGAGGCTGTGGCCCCTGAAGGCTTCCGTGCCTCCCGCCCCCAGCCGGCAGGTGGGGCAGTCTGGCCTGGGCCACCCTCTCTGAGCCCCTGCCTGTCTGTCCTGAAGGTCTTGCCTCCCTGACGTCCCGGCCAGGGGAGGGCTGGCTGCAGGGCGGGGACTGACAGAGCAGCCCACCACCCCACAACCCTTCACCCACTTCTTCCAAACAGAGGTGTCCCCAGCCCAGCCTCGGCCTCCAGGAGCTCGGTGTCACGGAAAGGGGCCGTGTCTGGTGACAAGTGCCGTATGGGGCAAATAGAGGCTGTGGCAGGAGAAGAGCGTGCAAGCGTTCGGGAGGGCTTCCTGGAGGAGGGGCGTGGGAGGTTGGCTGGTAAAGAGCACCCCTTTGCCCACCTCCCAGAGCCAGAGGTGACTATCGTGCGGGGGCTGGTGGACGCCGAGGTGCAGGCCCACGGGGACGTGGACTTCAGCTGCGAGGTGTCGCGGGCTGGAGCTGCGGACGTGGAGTGGCGCCTGCAGGGCCTGCCGCTGCAGAGCAACGAGGTGACGGAGGTGGCGGCGCGGGGTCGCACCCACGTGCTGCGGCTGAGGGGCGTGACGCCCGACGACGCGGGCACTGTGTCCTTCCACGTGGGCCGCCACACGTCCTCTGCCCAGCTCACCGTCCGAGGTAGCGGGTGCCGGGCAGGTCTCCCCACTTACCATGCTCGGGGCCGGAGCATCCAGGCCCTGCTGGGGAGAGAGACAGACTGCAGGCATCCCTGCCTTTGGGGTGGGCACTGGCAGGGAGGTGGACCTGTGAACGGGCGAGGGGGGATGGCCCGAGATGTCGGGGTGGAGTGGGGGCGTCCCAGGCTGAGGGGCCAAGTCACACTGGTGGGGCGGGGGTAGCAGGCTTTGTGGAGGCTCACGGGGTGTCTGAGTTTAGCTGTGTCTCCTGACTCTCTCACTGGGGGGCTGCTGCAAATTTTGGCTCACCCCCAGCCCGTAGTCATCCATCATCTCCAGGCCTCAGTCTCTACCGGGAGCTGGAAGGCACTGAGAACGGGATTCCTCCTTGTCTTCAGGAATTGGGGTGGGGGTGCTGGGGGCAGACCTCGAGCACTGGGAGGTGCTCCCAATGGAGTGTAGGGCTCCCAGACGCAGAGGCTGACACCACACCCCACACCCTGTGCAGCCCCTGAGGTGACCATCCTGGAGCCCCTGCAGGACGTGCAACTCAGCGAGGGCCAGGATGCCCACTTCCGGTGTCGGCTGTCCAGGGCCTCGGGCCAGGAGGTCCGCTGGGCTCTGGGAGGGGTGCCCCTGCAGGCCAACGAGATGAATGACATCACGGTGGAGCACGGCACGCTCCACTTGCTCACCCTGCACAAGGTGGGGTCCCCGGGACCTGCTCCACCCACAGTGCTCCCAGGGGTGCGGGAAGGGGAAGGTTCTAACTCCAGTCGGATTGAGCTGGGACTTGCAAACAGAAATGGTTGGCATGGGGCTTCCGGCTGAGACCCCACCTCTGTCCCTCAGGTGACCCTCGAAGATGCTGGAACCATCAGTTTCCAAGTGGGCTCGTGTAGCTCGGAGGCCCAGCTGAAGGTCACAGGTGGGCAGCCCCTTCTGCGCCTGGCTCTCCTGCTATGGGTGTCCGTGTTTCCCCTTATCAAGTAGCTGTTGGGGGTGCGGCCAGGAACCCAAGCTTTCCAGAAAATATCTTGCCTTGGTGGGGGACAATTTTCTGCCCCCTGACCACTAAAGCCACAGGCCAAGAGCCCACCGAGGTGCACCAGTGCAGATCAGCTTGAGAGATTCTGCTGTGTGGGGGGGGTTCCTGTGTGGTATTAGTGCTGTCTGCAGGAGGGAGACCCGGAGCCCGGCTGCTGTGAGCCTGGGCCCTAAGGTGGAGGCAGGGCCTTCTGGATTTCCACCCTCCATGTAGCTACTCCTGTAACACAGGTCCATGTGCTTATGTCCATCTTCACACACCTGCACGCCCGACAGGCTCCCAGGTGCTGATGCAACAGCAGGCCCGTGACACATGGACAGTTTTGGGTATGGCATACTTGTCCCCAGACATGCAGACAGGGTTCTAAGGACCTTTGACTTGGGTTATACCTTGTTCCCAGAGTTAGTCGTCCCTGAGTGCCTGGCCTTGAGTGACCCTCCCCTGCATTCCTACCCCAGTTGTCAAACTGGTCCCATCCATCCACCATCCATCCATCATCCATCCACCATCCATCTACCATCCATGCATCATCCATCCACCATCGATCTACTGTTCCTCCATCCATCATCCATCATCTATTTTCCATTCATTCATCTATCCATCCTTCCATTCATGTATCTACCATCTACCCATCCATCCATTCATCTATCCATCCATCATCCATCCACCATCCATCAACATCCATCCATCATCCATCTACCACTGATCTACTATCCATCCATTCATCATCCATCATCTGTCATCCATCCTCCATCTACCATCCATCTACCCATCCACCATGTGTCCACCTGTCCATCCGTCCATACATCCACCTATCCATCCATCGATCCATCCATCCATCCATCCATCCATTTATCCATCCATCATGTATCTACTATCTACCTCAAGAGAGAGAGCCCTCAGGGAGCCTCCAATCTACTGGAGAAGTTGGACATGGAGACAGAATGTGTCCTCTGTCCCAGGTGCTCCCCCACCACAAGTCTTCAGGGAATGGACAGACATGGTCAGCTCTGTGGCCTCTGTGGCTGGGAGAAGCTCCAGAGTGCAGTGCCCTCGAGTGATGGGAGACGGTCAGTTTTCTGGGTGTCCTGAGCAGGGCCGGGCCAGGAAGGGCCTCATGTGTTCATCAGAGTGGGCATCTGTGAGGGGGTGGAATGGAGCTGGATTGGGCTTGCTGAGGGCTGTGCCTTGGCCCCTCTCTTGGCCAGATGTCCTGAGCCAGGGCGAGCTGGTCTGCATACAGGCACCGGCTGTGGGCATGGGTGCCCAGTAGGTGGCGTATAGGCAAACCTGGAAACCGTGCTGGAGACGGGGTGGGAGCTGCGGGGAGGCGGTCAGCCGTGCACTCTAGGAGAGGGGGGGGACGCTGGGGGGCTGGGGCTGGGTGTTGGTGGTGCACCCCCAGCAAGGATACGGGGGCTTCTGAGGGAGCGCTGCCTGGGGCAGATGCAGGGGCTGCCTGTGTACGTGCTCTTCGTCCACCCCTCTCGCCCTCTTCCCCAGGGATGGGGGGGTTGGGGCTGTGGGAGCAGGTGGAGAAGCGTCTGGGCTTTGCCAACTGTGGACACGTCTCCTTCTTCACGAGGGGCCCCAGGATGACCTGGGGAAAGTGCTCTGAAGCGAGCATGAGGGCAGGGTACAGGTCCCACCCTGGGAGGCAGGAGCCTGCACCCCCAGCCCCGGGCAGTTCGGGTGTTGCTCTCTCTGCCCTGAGTCTCCCCTTCTCTCTTGCCCACGGGGCTGGGGCGGCCATGCTCTCAGCACTTCTGCCACATCTGCCCCGAGATGGAGAACAGAGGAGGCAAGTAGGGGACACAGAGCAGGCAGGCTCAAGCCCTGCTGTGTGACGGGCAGGGAGCAGCTGCCACACAGCTTTAGGGCCCCAGAATCTTAGGGACAGACGGAGCTCAGGGGACATCTGGACAAATGGCACTCTGGGATGGGAGAAGCATCTGCTTCTGCACCCCCAGGGACGGAAGGCTTGCTTCCTGAGGCAGAACCCCCACCTCAGAGTGGCGGGCTCCATGGCCCCTCCTCCCCCACAGCCCACCTGACAAAGATCGCAGTCGTGGGGCCTGGGGTGTGTCCATTCTGCCTTCTGGAAAGGTGAATCAGGTCATCTGTCTCCTTTGGTGAAACCAGGCGTGTTCTGAAGGGGGGTGTAGGGCGCAGGGGGGCTCAGCCGGCTCTCCACAGGCTCGCTGTGGGTGGTTTGCACGTCTCATTCTGTGAGCAGGGAGGGCCAGCTGGCCTGGGTGGATCTCTAGATGCCAGCCCCAGGGTGGCTCCAAGTGGTGGACCCCAGTGTCCCCGGCAGACCCGGGCACCCTGGCACGTTGGACCCTAGGGTGTCCCCTGCAGACCCCAGGACAACCCAGCCCACCCTCCTCTCGCCCTCTTGCACAGAGGCAGCGCCGTGCCTGGTACGTGGCTTGCAGAACGTGGACGTCTTTGCGGGGGAGGTGGCCACGTTCTCCTGCGAGGTGTCCCGTGCGGGTGGGCCGGAGGCCCGCTGGTGGCTGGATGGGACCCTGCTGCAGGACAGCCCCCAGAGTGCCATCTGCGTGCGTGATGGGACCCTCCACTCCCTCACGCTCTCGGGTCTGGGGGTCGCCGACTCGGGCACTGTCACCTACCGTGCGGGGCCCCTGGTCTCCACGGCCAAGTTGTTGGTCAAAGGTATCAGCTGACGAGACCCCTCCCCTCGCTGGCGCTCCTGCACCTGCTGCCACCGCACGCTTCCTGCAGTCTCCTGGGGCGGGAGGTCAAGGACTGGCCCCCAGGCCAAAGACTGGACATTGCTCCACACTTGTCATGGGCGCATGCGGCTGGCAGGCTGCCGTCCCATGTCGTGGATGACTTGGAGTGACGAAACTGGAAGCTGACCGCACGCCCACCTGCTCTGTAGGGGCCTGGGCGCTGCTGCCACCTGGCTGCCACTCTGCGCTGCACTTCTCTCGGGCGCACACCCAGATGGCAGCCTGGAGGCGAGGACAGCCTTCCTGGTCCCGCCCGTCTTGCACCGTCCCTGCTCTAGGCTGCTTCCCCTGCTGCGGGCTTGGTCGGGGTCTTGTGCTCTTCTGGGAAAGAGCGAGCCATTGGGGAGGGTAGTGGGCTGCCAGGGACCCCTGAACCCATTTGCAGTGGGGGCGTCGGGCGCTCCTGGGACAGCCCCCCGGCGGGGCTCCACCTGGTGTGTTTGCTGATGGGCCTCCTCTGCACTCATGCAGAGTAAACGTGGACGTTCACCCGGGTCCAAGGGGTGAACCATTTGTTGACTCGGATTTCGGCAGGTGGAGATGGGATGGAGGCCCTGGGGGGTCGGTGAGGCCCACGGAGGAGGGACAAGTTGGGCTGGGGGTACCACATGCCCAGCGGAGTCTGTGAACCCTGAGGAGTCCCGAGGGCTTTCAGGAGGGGGCACTGTGTCCCTGCTGGGGCAACGTGTGCCCCAGGCCTCGGGGGGGCTCAAGGGGCAAGAAGGGCCCGGCAGATGGAGGCCAAGCCGACGGTGCCGTCTGCCATGGGTGGGGCATGTGGGGCGAGGTTTGCCCCACATGGAGGGCCTGGGCACCGCGGAGGGTCCCGCTCCCACCACAGCCCCAAGCTTGCTTGCTGCTGAGCTGCCTACGCTGACCGCAGGGGGGCGGGCTGCGGCCACACCGCTCCGGCTGACGCGTGCCCGGCGTGTCGGCCGACAGATCCCGTGGTGGAGGTGGTCAGTGCCATGCAGGACCTGGCGGTGGAGGAGGGCCGCCCGGCCGAGCTCCTCTGCCAGTACTCGAGGCCTGTGCAGGCCACATGGAAGATGGACGAGCAGGAGGTGCGGGCCGACGGGCGCCGCGTCGTCATAGAGCAGGACTGGACGGTGGCCAGGCTGTCCTTCCAGCCGGCCTTGCCCTGCGACAGCGGCATCTATTCTTGTGAGGCCGCGGGCACCCGCGTGGTGGCCCTGCTGCAAGTGGAAGGTGAGGCGGCCCGGCGGGCAGCCCCAGGCCCAGCACGGCTTCAGCATGGCTTGAGCCGAGCCGTCCTGGAGGAATGGCAGGTGGCGACAGCCAGCGCCATGTGACCATACTAGAAAGAAGGATTCCAGCAGGTGGATCCTGCTGAAGCTGCGCTGGGCTCTGAGCCCACCCACCCAGGACCCCCCCCCCGCCAAGTGGCCTGATAGGACAGGGCAGCTGGAAAAATCCTGGGCAGAGGCTGCACTGAAGAACCTGTATCCTAGACAGCCAAGGAAATAGAGGCAGGCAGGGCAGGGCAGCCGGCGGGCTGTGTCCTAGAATGGAGGATGGGCGCTGGGCTGAGCTCCCCGAGGTCCGAGTTCAGACCCCAGCTCTTCCCCTTCCCTGGCTGGTCACTCAGAGGACGCTCCGAGTCCTGTGCCCCCCTCTGCAACATTGCACCACACGCTGTGGGGGGACCGAGTGTGGGGGACAGTGGGCTGCAGCTCCTGCTGGGGAAGGGGTGTCACTTGGCTGCGACCACTTCCTTATTTGGGAAAATCTGAACGTTCCAGTGGTGAGTGAGCTGGAGGGTGGGGGCAATTGTCAGGGGGCTGTCCAAGCCGGCATGAGCAGGTGGGACTGGTCCCAGCCACTGGCCGCCTGAGGTCATGCCAGCCCCATTGACTCACAAGTTCAACAAGCAATTTTTTTAAATACTTTCTTTTGGCTCCTAGGGGCGCAGCAGGGAACATACAAAACTCCCGCCCTTCAGGGCAGCGTCCCTGTGGGAGACGGAGGACAGGTGAAGGAGCTGTGGGAGGGCTGCAGTGGGCAGAGCAGAGCCTTCGGGGCCTCGGGGAGAACAGAGCGCAGGGCAGTGGGAGGCGCAGGGAGGCACCCAGGGGCTCACTGCTGCTTTAAAATTTGGGATTTTATTGAAACCAAGCAGCTGTCACATTCTCAGATGGGAAGTGAGGAGGTGAGCCCCAGCAGTGACTGCATGTCCGACCCTCCCCCTTGTCACTCCCGCCCCCTCCCATCGTAGCCAGAGCAGCTGCAGCCCAGATCTGGCTGGTCCCCAGCCGTCCATCCGGCTGTCCACCGGGCCGTCCACCCGAGCACGGTGGAGACGTGGGACACACTCCCAAGGCCCTGCTGGCACTGTCTGTTCTGACAGGTTGGGCCGGGACGAGGGAGAGTCTGGTTTGTGGTGTAAGCAGCCCAGGGCCAGAAAGGTGGCCCCGAGAGGGACGTGGATGGGCCCTGTGGGTCCTCTGCTCTGAGATACCCTCCTCCCTTCACCCCCTGGGTCTCCCGTCCAGAGCAGACACCCCTGCCCGTGGGGTGTGTGGACTCTGTGGACAAGCTGGGAGGGAGCATCAGGGCTGTGTGCGGGCTCCGTTTGGGGTGTGTACCCCAGAGAGCAGTTGGGGCTGTGGGCCTGGACCTTGGGCCAGGCTGTCCCCATCCCTCAGCTCAGTGACCACAGTGGCTCCTGGCTGTCCCGTGGGTCAAGGCCAGACCTCCCCAGCATCCAGGCCAGCCCTGGGTCACCTAGTGCTCCTTTCCTGCCTGACTGTACACCCTGCCGTCAGCCCCCCACCTGGCCCCTTACATCCTTCACCCCGCAGGTCTGGCTCCCTACTGCCCCCGTGCACCTTCCTTTACTCCCATCCTTGGGTCCCCTCCTGTCACTCCCCTGCCTGGACACCTCCCCTACCAGCTCAGTCATGACCACCCTCCAGATGCACCTCCTCCAGGAAGCTCCCTGGACTGTGCACTAGCATCACCTGCAGTACCGGTGGACTGTCGTTGGAAGGGGCCTTGGGAGTTGGCAAGCCCCCGTGGCTAGGCACTGAGTTCACGGCTTCCATGAAAATCGGGTGGCCACTTATTACAGACTCATGGACTGTGTGTACAGGAGAAATAGAGAGGGGTGCTGCTTTAGGGCCGAGGTCTCTGGTCCACTGGGTGAGCAGCAGCCCTGCAGGCCTGACAGCACTGGCTGGGGGCCCGAGGAAAGGGGGCGGGATCCTGAGCTGGAACCAGCAAGGGGCGCTGGGGTTTGAGTCCGGCTGTGGCTCCGGAGTTTCCAGTCTGTTGTCTCACGAACGCTGTGAGGCTTCTCACCTGTTGGGGGGGGGGGCCCAGGGCTGGTGATGGTGTCGGGAGGGCACTGCGGCGCCTCCGCGTGGACACCGAGTGCCGCCCTCCTTGTGGCCACATTCTATTCAGCCCTGTGTCCTGCGGGGGGTGGGGGGCTTTCCCACGTGACTTCGGGGGTAGGGGGCGCCCTGGGCCGGAGGAGGCCCGCGCTCCTGAGCCGTCCCCTCCCCGCAGCCAAGAACACGGTGGTGCGGGGCCTGGAGAACGTGGAGGCGCCCGAGGGCGGCGAGGCGCTGTTCGAGTGCCAGCTGTCCCGGCCCGAGGTGGCCGCCCACACCTGGCTGCTGGACGACGAGCCAGTGCGTACCTCCGAGGACGCCGAGGTGGTTTACTTCGAGAACGGCCTGCGGCACCTGCTGCTGCTCAAAAACCTGCGGCCGCAGGACAGCTGCCGGGTGACCTTCCTGGCGGGGGACGTGGTGACGTCGGCCTTCCTCACCGTCAGAGGTAAGGGGCGCGGGGCCGGGGCCCCGGGGTGGGCGTGAGCCTCTGAGGCCCCTCCCACTGGGGAGGGTGGTGCTGGGGCCGCGGGGCGGGCCGTTGGTCTCAGACCCCTCCCACCAATCACCTAGCTGCGGAGGTGCGGGGGGTGTGTGACCGCGGTGGGGGCCTGGGTCTCTGAGAACCCTCCCTCCCGAGGCTGGGCCGCCTCCTCTTTCAGGGGGCGGGGGCTGTGGGAGGGGTGGTCTGGGGGTCTCCGAGACCCCCGGAGGCCGCCCCTCGGCCCTGCGCTCACCCCCCACACCCCGCCCCGCAGGCTGGCGCCTGGAGGTCCTGGAGCCCCCGCGGGACGCGGCCGTGCCGGCCGGGGGGCAGGCCCGCTTCAGCTGCACGCTCAGCGAGGCGGTGCCGGTGGGCGAGGCCACCTGGTACGTGAACGGCGCCGCGGTGCAGCCGGACGACGCCGACTGGACGGTCACGGCCGACGGCAGCCGGCACGCCCTGCTGCTGCACCGCGCCCGGCAGCACCATGCTGGCGAGGTCACCTTCGCCGCCCGCGACGCCGTGGCCTCCGCGCGGCTCAGCGTGCTGGGTGTGTGCTCGTGCCACCCGCTGCGGCTGGGGTCCGGGGCTCTGCGGGGGTGACGGGGGGTGGAGAGGGAGCGGCTCCAGCCCCGGAGGCTCCGGTGGCCCCCACGCTGCGCGGGTTCTAGGCAGTGTCTCTCTGTGACTCCAGCGCACGACCCTGGCTCCCTGAGACGGCCAGGCACCGGGCACAGCGGCTCACAGGCCTGGGGGGTGGCCCGCCCAGCACCCTCACTGCGCCCCAGAACCAGACCCCAGGGCGGGCAGAGCTGGGGCTGACCGGCCCCCTCTCCTCAGGCCTCCCCGACCCCCCAGAGGACGCTGAGGTGGTGGGGCGCAGCGGCAGCTCCGTGACGCTGTCCTGGGTGGCACCCGCAAGCGATGGCGGTGGCGGTCTCTGCGGCTATCGGGTGGAGATGAAGGCGGCGGCCACCGGCGAGTGGCGGCTGTGCCACGAGCTGGTGCCGGGGCCGGAGTGTGTGGTGGACGGCCTGGTCCCCGGGGAGACCTACCGCTTCCGCGTGGCAGCCGTGGGCCCCGCGGGCACCGGGGAGCCCGTGTACCTGCCTCAGACTGTGAGGCTCGGTGAGTTGTGCTCTCTGCCCGCTGGTGAGGGGGGGGGTCCCGCCTGGAGGCTCAAGCCCTCCCAAGCTGAGAGCCTGGGGCCCGTCCTTGCTGATGCGCTTGTTCGGCCTGGGGCGCTGTTCCCAGCAGAGCCGGTGGAGCCCGCGTCTGCGCCTCCCGTCCAGAGCCGGCAGGTGGCCGTCGGCGAGGAAGTGCGTTTGGTGTGTGAGGTGGCTGAGGCCGGCGAGGTCGTCTGGCTGAAGGGGGTGGAGCCCATCCAGCCCAGCGAGCGCTTGCAGGTTCTCACCCAAGGTCAGCAGCAGACGCTGGTGATCAGGGGCTTCTCCGCGGAGGACCAGGGCGAGTACCGCTGTGGCCCCATCGCAGGACCGGCCTCCGCTGTGGCCACCACCTTCCAGGGTGTGTCCTCCTGGGGCCCAGTGTGGGGGGGCTGGGGCGTTGGGGTGGGCTGGCCCTCCAGGCATGGGCTGGCCCTCCAGGCATGGGGTCCTTGTGGGGAGATGCACAGACCCCGTGTGGCTCAGCCTTGTGTCAGAACCCGTATCCGTGGCATTTCAGGCCGCCTCCCTCTGAGTGGGGTCTTGGCCAACGTAGGCCTTGGTTCCCACTCATGGTCCCTTAAGTTTTCAGGTCTTTGCACTCCAAGCCTCCCCTGTTCTCTGAGCTGCCTCTCCCCTGCCCTGAGCCCTCCTTTCTTCACTCTGACCCGTGCCTGCACTGACCCTGGCACTGCCTCTCCATGCCTATCTTCTCCCTGCCCTGCGATAAGATCCTGGAGGTTCTGGGCCTCCTCTCACACAACAGAAGAAGAGGAGCAAGGCGGGCCCAGTCTGAGCTGGCAGAGCCCTCTCTGTGCTGATGGTCTCGTACTCCATGCAGGAGGTAGACTGGGGCCTCGCCTGATCAAGGAAAGCTGAGATCTAGAGAGGGCCGTTCAGAGCCTCTAAAGCCTCAAACAGTGTGCTGTCAGAGCTCTCTGGGGGCCAGGCAAGCAGCAGAGGCCTGTCCAGGGGAACCACGGTCAGCAGCCAAGGCTGGTCTGGGATCCGGCTCCGTCCCAGCCTGGCTGACCAGTCTCCTATCCTCCTTAGTGGTGCTGACCCCGGGATCAGGGGATGAGGCCCCGACGCAGCCCAGCTTGCCCCCAGAGGCGGCCCAGGAGGGTGACCTGCACTTGCTGTGGGAGGCCCTGGCCCGGAAGCGCCGCATGAGCCGCGAGCCCACTCTGGACTCCATCAGCGAGCTGCCCGAGGAGGACGGACGCCTGCAGCGCCTGCGGCAGGAGGCAGAGGAGGTGGCCCCCGACCTCTCCGAGGACTACTCCACAGCCGACGAGCTGACACGCACTGGCGAGGCTGATCTCTCCCACACCAGCTCTGATGATGAGTCCCGGGCGGGAACTCCTTCCCTGGTTACCTACCTCAAGAAGGCCGGGAGGCCCGGTGCCTCACCACTGGCCAGCAAGGTGAGCCTCCAGCTTGGCCTGCAAGGAGAGGCCTGGGTGTCTCAAATCTTCCCTACTCATCCATTGTCCATCCATGCATTATCCATCCCCCATGCGTTTATCTGTCTGTCTGTTCATCTACCATCCATTTATTCATCCAGTCACCCCCCCACGTATCTGTCATCCGTCTACCATCTGTCATCCATTCATGCATCATCCGTCCACCACCCAGCCATCTGTCCATCCACCATCCATCCGCCCATCCATCCATTCATCCACTCTTCCTGCACACGTTCACCCTGTTGTAGGTTTACTTGTCAGCTCTATCCATTCACGTATCCACCCATCTACCTACCTATCTATTCGTCCATCCATCCATTTACCCACCCACCTGTCCATCCGTTTACCGTCTCTGTACTTGGTCATCTGTTCATATATTTATCTATCGGCTTGTTTACCCACCTGTCCTTCCAACTATCCATCCATTTGCTATCCACTCATCTATTTATCTACCTATCCATCCTTCCATCATGCACCCATGGCATCCATCCACCCATCCTTTCTCCTTCCGCCCACTTGTCCACCATCCACCCATCCAAGTGGCTGTTAAAACCTTTTCTGAAGAGCTGGAACTGGCCTCTTTGGGGTGTTCCTTGCAACTGTGTCAGTCCCAGTCTGGGTGACCACGGAGAGTGATTTCAGGGAGGGTAGGCTTGCTTTTTGGCAGCAGTAGGAGCCATCAGGCATCCAGGCTCAATGAAGGTGGTGTGGTTGCCAGCAGGCAGGAGGCAGAGTGGCGTGCGGGAGGGAGATGTGGAGCTGGAGTGGCAGACCCAGCCCTGCTGCCAGCCCTGCCCTGTGTGCCCCTGCTCCGTCCTTCCCCGTCCTGGGCTTTGATTTTCCTACCTCCCCTGTACACACAGGTTGGGGTCCCAGCAGCCCCGTCTGGGAAGCCACAGGAGCAGCAGGAGCAGCCAGCCGCAGTGCGCCCACCGCCAGGAGACCTGAGCACGGAGGACCTGGGTGGCCCATCCATGGACAAGGCAGCCGTGAAAATCCAGGCTGCCTTCAAGGGCTACAAGGTCCGGAAGGAGATGAAGCAGCAGGAGGGACCTGTGTTCTGCCGCACGTTTGGGGACACTGAGGTGCAGGTGGGAGATGTCCTGCGTCTGGAGTGTGTGGTGACCAGCAAGGCAGACGTGCATGCCCGCTGGCTGAAGGACGGCGTGGAGCTGACCGACGGCCGGCACCACCACATCGACCAGCTTGGGGATGGCACCTGCTCTCTGCTGGTCACCGGCCTGGGCCATGCAGATGCCGGCCGCTACACCTGTCAGGTGAGCAGCAAGTTTGGCCACGTGGCCCACAGCGCTTGTGTGGTGGTCAGCGGGACGGAGAGTGAGGCTGAGAGTTCCTCCGGGGGCGAACTGGACGATGCCTTCCGCCGGGCCGCCCGGCGGCTGCACCGCCTCTTCTGCACCAAGGGCTCAGAGGAGGTTTCAGACGAGGAGATCTTCCTCAGCGCAGACGAGGGCACCGCGGAGCCGGAGGAGCCTGGAGACTGGCAGAGCTACCGTGAAGATGAGCACTTTGTTTGCATCCGCTTCGAGGAGGTTGCTGAGGCCCAGCGGGCGGCCGCCCGCTTCCGGGAGATGTTCGGCACGATGGGCATCGGGGTGGACATCAGCCTCTCAGAGCAAGGCCCTCAGGGGGTGGAGATGCGCATCGGGAAGGTTGCCCCTGCCTTTGCAGCTCCTCTGGAGCCAGTGCCCAGCTTGCTGACCGTGGAGGCCGGTGAGTCTGCCAGCCGCCTGAGTTGGGGTGGGGAGAGAGGAGAGGCAAAGCTGGCTGTGGTGACCAGGGTCAGCTGAGCTCTTGGGGAGCTGGCTGAGCTCCAGCTTCGGGCCCTTCGCAGATGCAGCCCACTGGGCTGGGAGGAGCCCTGACTCTGGGGTTAGACAGAGCTCAACCTACATCCCAGCTCTGCTTACTGCTAGGGGCTTCTCTGAGCCTCACTTGTTAAACAGGTGTGTGAATGCTGACTTTCTAGAGGTCTTTCTTCCCCCGTGAGGGTTCGAGATACAACCTGTTTAGAAGGTGGAGTTCCTTGTAGTGTAGTCCTCGTGCCGTCTCCTGCTCTAGCAACTAAAATTAATTTAAAAGCCGTTTTACCGTTTACTCGTATCTCCCTAGAAACAGCAAAGACGGTGTCACTAATAACCCACAGCACCATGTCTTGAAACCTCCCTTCTCCAGTTTTGAGCCACTCTTGCACCTCCAGGCCCTGACTCCCATCCCACATGGCCTTGGTCTCCCCCTTACCGCCCCCTCCTTCCCGTTTCTCATCTGCTGTCCCTCTGGCCTCGTGGTAGCTCAGGAACCGGGCCGGCAGGGAGAGGATTCTCCTGGGGAGTCAGGAATAGCTGGTGGGAACAGAACTCTGCTTAGCCCCTGGGTCTGTGGGCACTCCCGCCTGAAGGGGTGCTGTGCAGATCGTGCATGTGGAACGAGGCAGCTGGGGCCATCCAGGGGCAGCCTGGGGTAACTCCCTGCACTCCCTGCCCGTCCCTCCCAGCCCCTGTGTTCCTGACTGAGCTACAGAATCAGGAGGTGCAGGACGGGTACCCCGTAAGCTTCGACTGTGTGGTGACGGGCCAGCCGGTGCCCAGTGTGCGTTGGTTCAAGGACGGGAGGGTGCTGGAGGAGGACGACCACTACATGATCAGTGAGGACCAGCAGGGCGGCCACCAGCTCATCATCACGGCCGTGGTGCCGGCAGACATGGGCGTCTACCGCTGCCTGGCCGAGAACAGCGTGGGTGTGTCTTCCACCAAGGCAGAACTTCGTGTGGACCGTGAGTGCCGCTGTCCGGGTTTGATGGCCCCTGGGTGGGCGGCGTGGGGGCTCTGGCCAGGAGGGGCAATGCTGGGTTGGAGGATAGTCCAGAGAGCGTTGGTCTCGGCCAGACAGGATTTGGGGCCTCGATGTCCTGTGGCAGATGGAGAGTTCTTTGGGAGCCCCCTGGGGTGTGGTGGGGGCCTTATCTCCTTGAGAGGCGTCCAGGCTGGGGAGGTGCCCCAGGGCACAGTGGGTGGTTAATGGCACTGTGGGATAACAAGAAATACTTATTTGGTCTTTGTCCCTGGTTCCTGGCACGCAGCTCCTAATTCCTTTAAATTTCCTGAGTGACAAGGGGAAGGGGGTGACCTTTGTTCTAATGCAGAGACTCCTGATGGGCCCCTAGACAGCTTCAGGATGGAGGATGGTGGCCAGGACCCCTACAAATATGTCCACTGGTTTTTGACAAAAGTGCAGAAGCAATTAATTGGAGGAATAGAATTTCATCAGATGGTGTGGAGTAGTTTGGACATTCATAGGCAAAAAAATGAACCTCGACCTTATACGAAAATTAACTCAAAATGGATTACATACTTAAATGTAAAATATAAAACTATAAAACTTCTAGAGAAACAATAGGAGGAAATCTTCAGGAAATTAGAGCTAGGAGAAGACTTCTCAGACTTGACGCTAAAGCAACGCCCGTAAAAGGAAAAAGTGGTAAACTGGACCGCCTCCAAGTTAAAAACTCCTGCTCTGAGAAAGATCTGGTGTTAAGAAGGAGGAACTATCTGCAAACCACAGATCCAATAAAGGACTTTTATCCAAAATATATAAAGAATGCTCAACATTAAACAGTAAAAAATTGTTGAAAATCCAGTTAGGATAGGAGCACAAGACACATCCACACGTCCGTGGGAGGACGCACAGGTGCAGAGGAGCACACGGAAGATGCTCAGGCATCGTCAGCCATCAGGGAGATGCAGGTCAAAGCCCCAGCGAGATGTCATTGTGCACTGATCAGGATGGCTGAAGTAAGAAATGGTGACGGCCCCAAATGCAGATGAAACGGGGTCCCCCGTGCACTGCTGGTGGGGATGTAGAATGGTGCGGCCGCTCTGGAAAACAGTGTGGCGGTTTTTTTTTTACAAAACTAACCATGTAGTTACCATACTACCCCAAAATTGCTTTTTGGGGTGTTTATCCCAGAAAAATGAAAACTCAAATTCGTAATACAACTTGTTCCCAAATGCTCATAGCAGCTTTATTCCTAATAGCCAAAAACTGGTAACGACCCAGCTGTCCTTCAGTGGGTGAACAGTTCAACTGTGGACGGATATTCTGTGGAATATGACTCGGTAAGGAAAGGGAAGGAGTTATTGACATATGCAGCAGCTGTGATAAGACTGCATTTTGTTGCACAAAATTAAACACACACACTCAGTGGAGTTTGTGTGAAACTTGTGAAATCTGAACAAGGTCGAGGGAGATGTCAGTGTCAGTTTTCATAGTTAGGAGAGGAGTGAGCGTTGCTGTAAGCTGGGTGAAGGGTATGTAGGGTCTCTGCATTATTTCTTAGAACAGCCTGAGAATCTACAATTCTCTCAAAATAAAAAGGAAAAACACACAACAAGAACATCCCGAGAATAAAGAGGAAACAACCTGGTGAAGATTATTTGTAACATGTAAACTTGAGGATTTTTTTTTAAAAAGCAGTGGAAAAAAAGGTCACAAAAGAACAAAAAAAAAGGCCAATGTATGAAAAAGAAAGTTGAACCGATGTGTGAAGAAATGCAAACCAAAAACATAATTTTGTTACTCAAACTGCCAAAGATTTCTTAAAAGATAATGGGTATTATTCTCAGGGCTTGCAGTAAGTGAGAATTCACAGCCTGCTGGTAAACGAATTTGTGTTAATGGTACAAGTTTTCAATGAAGAATTTAATCAAAACAGTATTTGAGACAGTCTTATTTCTAAAAAAAAAAACTAGGTATACAAAAATATGTGTACGTCTCTTGAATTGCAGTTACTTATATTAGCAAATAAAAACCTAATCTAGATGTCTAAATAGCAAGGGATTGGTTAAACACGTTATGACAAAAAACCCCACAACAATAACAAGCAGTCGATCACCTTAAGTAAGAACCTGTCTTATCTGTTTACGCAGGAGGTTCTGTTTCCATGCTCTCATTTTGCCGTGTACGTCTAGATTTCTATCTGGTGTCACTTGCTTTCTGCTTGAAGGACATCTTTTAACATTTTTTTGTAGTATGGGCATGCTGGAATTCTTTCTTTTCTATGTATGCTTTTGTATGTCTGGAAAAAAATGTGTTTATTTTGCTCTTGTTTTTGCAAGATGTTTTTGCTAGGACAGTTTTTCTCTCCATAGTGGAACGGTGTGGCTGCACCGTCTAGTAGCTTGCGTTGTTTCCGCTGAGAAATGTGATGTCATTCTTATCTTTGCTTCTCTGTACATAATTTGTGTTTTCTATTGGGATTTTAAAATTTTTAGATGTTTGCACCCCGTAAAATTCACCATTTTAAAATGTGCAATGTCGTGGTTTTTGGTATATTCACGAGGTTGTGCAACCATTACTGCCATCTAATTTCAGAACACTTCCGTCATCCCAGAACAAAACCCCATACCACTGTCTGTCACTCCCCATTCCACTGGAAACCACTAATCTACTTTCTATCTCTGTGGGTTTGCCTGTTCTGAACATTTCATATAAATGGAATCATATGGTGTGTGGCCTTTTGTGCCTGACTTCTGTCACCGAGCGTGTTTCCAAGATCTGTCCATGTTGTAGCTTTTGTCGGTACTTCGTTGCCTTTTATGGCTGGGGAATATCCCATTGCGTATGGACTGTTTATCCACTCATTGGATGGTCTGTATGCATTTATTGTTTGGGCTGTTAGGAACAATACTGCTGTGAACACTCATGTACAAGTTTCTGCCTGGACGTCTGTTTTCGCTTCTCTTGGGTCTGTACTTAGGAGTGGAATTACTGGATCGTATGGTAACCCTATGTTTAGCTTTTACAGGAACTGACCAACTGTTTTCCAAAGTGGCCACACCATTTTACCTTCTCACCAGCAACGTACAAGTGTTCCAATTTTTCCATGTCTTCACCAAAACTTGTTAGTCTTTTTGATAATAGCCATCCTAGTGGGTGTGAAGTGGTGTCTCATTGTGGTTTTGATTTGCATTTCCCTAACGACTAATGATGGTGAGCATCCTTACATGTGCTTATTGGCTTTTTGTATGTCTTTTTTGAAGAAATATGTGTTCACATCCTTTGTGCATTGTTAAATTGAGTCATCTTTTGATTTTGAGTTGTAAGAATTCTTTCTATGTGCTGGGTGCAGCACATATCAGATAGATGATCTATTATCAGATAGATGATTTTTTAGTGTTTTCTCCCATTCTGTCGGCTGTCTTTTCCCTTTCTTGACAGATCCTATGATGCATGAAGGTTCTTAATTTTGAGGAAGTCCAGTTCATCCACTTTTTCTTTGGTTGCTAGTTCTTTAGTTGTCATGTCTAAGACTCCCCTGCCTAATCCAAGGTTATAAAGATTTACACTTATGTTTTCTTCTAAGGGTTTTATAGTTTGAGCTCTTATACTTAGGTCTTTGGTCCATTTTGAGTTAATTTTTGTATATGGTGTGAGGTAAGGGCCCAAATTCATTCTTTTGACGTGGATATCCAATTGTCCCAGCACCATTTGTTGAAGACTTTTTTCCTTCATAAAATTGTCTTGGAACTCTTGTCAAAAACTAACCTCCATTAAATGTATGGGTTTATTTCTGCGCTCTCGATTCTGTCCCATTGATGTAAACGTCTGTCTTGATGCTGGGGCCGTACTGTTGTGATTACTGTAGCTTTGTGGTGAGTTTTGAAACCTAGAAGTGTGAGTCCTCCAACTTTGTTCTTTTTCAAGATCGTTTTGAACATTCCGGGTCTCTTGCATTTTATGTGAGTTTTAGGATCACCTTGTCAATTTCTGCTAAAATGGTTTGAATATTTTTTAAGATTTCCTGTTTATCGCTGGTTTTGAGTGATTTGATTATGATATTCTTCGGTGCACTTTTCTTCGTGTTCCCTTGTGCTTGCTGTTAATTGAGCTTCTTGGAACTTGGGGTTTATGATTTTCATTGGAATTTTTGTTGGCGGTTATTTCTTCGAATGTTTTTCCTTTCGCCTGATTTGGGGACCTCAGTTACACATACGTCAAGCCTCTCGAGGTTGTTTTACGGCTCACGGGTACTCTTTTTGCTTTTAAAGATTCGTTTTTCTCTGTGCATTTCATCCTGGGCACGTCCACGACTCTTTTCCTCTGTGACGTGTAATCTGCTCTTTGTCCTGCCCCTCGTATTTTTGTATCTGTAGAAGTTCCACTTAAGTCTTTTTAATATAGTCTACGTCCCTGCTTAACTTCTTGAGCACATCAGCACGGTTCTGCCTGTTTTCGTGTCTGTCTCTGCCGTCCTGATGCCTGCCGGTCCTGGCTTGGTCCGGCTGAGTGACTCTCTCCACGAGCCGGTGCTGCTCTCCTGCCTCCTGGTGTGTCTCGCCCTCTCTCCCTCAACGTCTGACACTGAGTCTGACCCTGTTGGGAGCCGGGTATTTTGTGTTTCTGCAGGTCCTATGGGGCTTTGTTCTGGGCACAGTGAGTTCCTGGGAAGCAGTTGACCCTTTGGGTCTGGCTGTGTGGTTGTGTGGTGTCGTGCACACAGTGTGGGTCCAGGCTGCTCCTGCCGTGTCCTGGGCGAGAGCTTCCTGAGCCCCCCGCCGGCACCCTCTGCAGCCTTGTGTCCCTCCATCTGTTTCCTCTGGTCCTGTCTCATGGTTCTTTCCTCCCGCGCCGTGCGGAGCGGTGCTCTACCGAGTCCTCGAGGGGCTTTCTCTGTGCAGCTTTCTCTTCTCTGGTTTTCTGTCCTGTGGCCTCCAGCTGCCTTCGTCTCCCAGGATGGTAGCTCTGTCTCCTCAACTCAGAGTCTGCCTCAGTTTCCCCTCCTGGGCCTGGAAACTCAAGGCAGGCAGCTGGGGCAATCACAGGGCTCACTTCTGTTTCCTCTCTCTAATGGATCACTCCTTCACTCACTTAATGCCAAGTGACCTGAAAACCATTTCGATGATTCTGCACCCAATTCCGATGTGAGGGTTCTTTACCCACACCAAGCAATTGTGCGTCTCCCGCTGGGGGTCCTACAATTCAACTCCATTCTGACACTGTCTGCCTGGAGGTGGCGTCAGATCTCACAGGTACAGGGCGCAGTCCCACAAGACCACCCCACTTCAGACGCCAATCACAAGTCCAGGTGTCCCCTGTGCTTCTGACCGACTGGCTCTAGATCAGGAGCCCCTCCTAGCGTTGGATTAGTTCACTGGAACGGCTCACAGAACTCAGGAAACATTTCACTTACTGGATCCCTGGTTTACCATGAAAGGATATAACTCAGGAACAGCCAGATGAAGAGAGGCAGAGGGCAGGTCTGGGGAAAGGGCTCAGAGTTTCCACACCCTCTCCAGGGCAGCCACCCCTCCCAGCACCTCCACGCGTCCATCAGCCCAGAAGCTCTCAGAACCCGTCGTTTTGAGTTTTCTGAAGACCTCATTACACAGGCATGACTGATGAAATCACTGGCCACTGGTGATTGATTGACCCTCCAGCCCTCTCCCCTCCCCAGGGGTCAGGGGGTGGGACTTAACGTTCCAGCCCTCTAATCACAGGGTCAGTTCCCCTGGTGACCAGCCCTTATCCTTAGGTGTGGTCCAAAAGTCATCTCATTAACATAACAAAAGGAACTTTTTCAGCTCTCATCACTTAGGAAATTCCAAGGGTTTCAGGACCTCTGTGCCAGGAACGGGTCGGGTCGCGACCAAATAAATATTTCTTTCTTTCTTTTGTTTTCTTTTTGTGAGGAAGATCAGCCCTGAGCTAACATCCATGCCAATCCTCCTCTTTTTGCTGAGGAAGACCAGCCCTGAGCTAACATCTATTGCCAATCCTCCTCCTTTTTTTTTTTTTTCCCTTTTTCTCCCCAAAGCCCCAGTAGATAGTTGTATGTCATAGTTGCACATCCCTCTAGTTGCTGTACGTGGGACGCCGCCACAGCATGGCGGGACAAGCAGTGCGTTGTTGCGCGCCCAGGATCCGAACCCAGGCCGCCAGTAGCGGAGCGCATGCACTTAACGCTAAGCCATGGGGCCGGCCCCCCAAATAAATTTTTCTTATGATAAATCACAATGTCACAAGCATTGTTTCATGTATTTTGTTTGTTTTGGCAGTTTCAGGGGGGAAGGCGTCTTAGTTGCAGCTGCTGTAACATAGTACCACAGACTGGGAGGCTTACAAACTACAGAAGTTGCTTCCTCACAGTCTGGAGGCTGGAAACCTGAGTCTGGGAGCCAGCAGGGCTGGGTTCTGGGAGGGCTCTCTTCCGAGTTGCAGACAGCTGTCTTCTCTGTGTCCTCTGTGGTGGAGGTGGCAAAGGCGCTCTCTGGGGTCCCTCTTATAAGGGCACTGATCCCATCACGGGGGCTCCACCCTGGTGACCTAAGCACCTCCCAAAGGCCCCACCTCCCAATACCGTCATATTGAGGATGAGGATTCAGCATATGAATTTTGGGGGACACAGACATTCAGCCCATAACAGAGGGCAAACCCAGTCCCTGTTTTTCCATTGTGGCTGGAAATGGAAGCCCCGGCGGGGTTCGGAGGCCATTCTTGCTCTCCACTAGAGTGGAACTGGGAGAGGCTGCCCCTGGCCCTGCCTGCCACTTAGGAAGCCCAGAGTCATCTCCTGTCTACGATCTGTTGGGTTTTGCAGTTAGTTACAGGCCTGGAAACTTGACGGGGACAGTGTGGGGGCAGGGAGGGGACACAGGGTAGCCGTGTCCCCTGTGACTTCTGGCTCAGGAGTTGAGTGGCTCCCAGGGACGGCTGTGTAGTGAGAACCAGGTGGCCTCTGGGGCGGGGCCCAGGCCGGGGCAGGTGGGGTACAGGTCTCGCTCCAGCTCCCCCTCTCATCCCCAGTGACCAGCACCGACTACGAGACGGCTGCCGATGCTACCGAGACGTCGTCCTACTTCAGCGCCCAAGGCTACCTGTCCAGGTGGGGGCCAGGCAGAGGTGGGCAGTACCCTGCGAGCTGGCGGCCCCTGGCCCCAGGTGGGGAGTGGTGATGCTGGCTTGGAATGACTGAGGCCGAATCCTGGAGCCTTCAACTGGGCCACAGCAGTCTCTGTCCAGCCAGCAGGACCTCCAAAGCTATCTGTGCCTGACCCCGGTCCCCTCCTGCTCCCTCACTGGTCCACTTCACTACTGCCCCTTCTCTGTTCTCCCTGCCAGCCGGGAGCAAGAGGGCACAGAATCCTCAGAGGAAGGGCAGCTGCCCCAGGTGGTGGAGGAGCTGAAAGACCTCCAGGTGGCCCCTGGCACACGCCTGGCCAAGTTCCAACTCAAGGTCAAAGGTGAGGGAGAGAGGGCCAGAGAGCCAGGAGCTGCCTCCTACCAGCAGAAGTTGGGCAGTCACTGGTGGCCCAGGGGTCTCTGAGGAACCCCCTCTCTGGGCCATGTGGAGGGCAGGGTGCCCACTGGGTGGTGGCTCTGTGCTGACCACTCCCCCTATGGCCCCAGGCTACCCGGCGCCCCGCCTGTACTGGTTCAAGGACGGGCAGCCCCTGACCACATCTGAGCACATCCGCATGGCCGACAGGAAGACCCTGCACACCCTGGAGATCGTCTCAGTCACCAGCGAGGACGCTGGCCAGTACTCAGCCTACATCAGCAACACCGTGGGCGCTGCCTACTCTTCTGCGCAGCTGCTGGTCCAAGGTGGGTACTGGGGCACTGGGCAGAGGCCGGCATCCACACCCGGGCTGATGTCCACCTACGTGCTGCCTGGGGCCGCGCCCAGTGGTCATCACCCATGTGCAGAAGCATCATAGGTGGCCAGAAGCTGGCCCCAGGAAGCATGTGTCCTTGGGGGGCATGGGGCCCGTGCACGCTGACCGGCAAGCAGGCTGGCCACTGATGTAGACCCAGGCGAGCGTGTGGCCCACAGTAGACCATTAGGAATAGAGATCTGAGCTTCCTTATGCTCCAAAGTTCTGAGCACTGCAGGGTGACTCCCCTGCAGGGTCTGTGGCCAGGCTGCCCTGGATGAGGGGCCAGCGCTGCCCAGAGCTCCCCTTGCCCTCCAGTGTGACCTCCAAGTGTTGGCTCCAGGGTGACTCCCCAGATTCCTGAGGCTGCACAGGGTCCGGTCCCTGTGCCCTCTTGGCTTTCCACACCTGAGTGTGAATTCCACTGCCGCACGGCCAGGTTCAGGAAAGGTGTTGTGTGTGGGAGTGGGCGGGGCTGCCCTGGGGACCCCCTCCCCACCCAGCAGGGCCACCAGCCTAGGGAGGGAGGCGCCCTCATGCCACAGGTCTCACTTCTGTGCCTCCTTCAGGCCCCAACGAACCAGAGGAGAAGCCGGCGTTAGGTGAGCTGACTCTTGACAGGCAGAGGTGGGGAGGAGGGTGGCGGGGGGCACCTAGGGCTCCACAAGGGTGTGTGAGGGGGTGACCCCACAGGTAGAGGAGACTGGGCAGGTGGAGGCTGGGCCTTGGCAGTGGGACAGCACCAGGTGTCCCTCGAGGCCCCGGAGCCCACCCCCTCACGGAGCTGGGACCTTGTTCGTGCTCCCCACCAGCTGCCCCATGTCTCCCCAGATGTGCAACAACAGCTGGTGCCACCCCGCTTCCTGGAGAAGTTCACACCCAAGAAGGTGAAAAAGGGCGCCAACATCACTTTCTCTGTGAAGGTGGAAGGTAAAGCACTCCTGCCCCCGTCCCCACCGGGCGCCCCCGGGAGGCCCCAGGCAGATCCCCCCCATCCCCACTGAGGACACCCTGGGAGGCTCAGAGGCGACCCCCTTTCCCAGAGCCCTCCTCCTGGTTTGGGGGATGGCTGCACTGTCCACTCCTGCTTGCAGGACACCCTGCCCCGGCCGTGCACTGGCTGCGGGAGGAGGCGGAGCAGGGCGTGCTGTGGATTGGCCGTGACACGCCAGGCTACACGGTGGCCAGCTCCGCGCAGCAGCACAGCCTGGTCCTGCTGGATGTGGGCCGACAGCACCAGGGCACCTACACCTGCATTGCCAGCAACGCCGCCGGCCAGGCCCTCTGCTCCGCCAGCCTGCACATCTCTGGCCGTGAGTGGGCGTGGGTGACCGGTGGGGAGGGGTAAGGGGTCTGGGGCCTCCTAGGGACACACTGCCCCTCTCTCAGACCCCTGCCCAGACCCCTCTCTCCTCTGCCCTCCCAGAGCGGGGAGACCCCGAGCGCAGAGCCCCAGGGTCCAGCTCCCACCCCCTGCCCTGTGGGCTCCGCTCAGCCGGCCAAGACCCTCCCAGAAGCCCCCTGCTGCCCTGAGTGGTTTCTTCCCGGCATGTGCAGGCCCTCTGAGGGCTGATGAGTCAAGCACAGACCTCGTTCCTGTCCCCACCCCTGGCCGGGTGACTGTGGCCCGAGTTGTGACGCCAGGCACAGCCCCTCCTTGGGGGTCTGGATGTGCAGCGTCAAGGCCCCTGGGGCGGCCCAGACATCCTAGGTGGGGGTTTGCACCCGAATCAGCTCGGCAGAGGCCGGGGGTCATCCTGGTGGCTCACCTTGCTCTCCTGACAGTGTCCAAGGAGGCCGGGGCGGCGGAGGAGCAGGCCGGGGTGAAGGAGGCCCTCATGTCCACCTTCCTGCAGGGGTGAGAGCCGGCCGGCCATGGTGGGGCCAGGAGCAGGGGCCTGGGAGTGGGGGTCAGAGCTGCTGCTGGGGAGGGAACCCTGTCCTGGCCGCAGCCCAGCTCTACCCTTGCGCCAGCCCCCGTCCCTGTCTGTGCCTCCATCGCAAAAGGAAGGCTTTTTGGTGCCCTGACTGCAGCATCCTGGCCCCGTCCCCAGACCCTCTTTCTTGCAGTAGCTCCCCGCCAAGGGTGTGGGGAGGTGGGTCTGCCCCAGACCCCTCAGGACACCCCCTCCCCGCTTTAGGGCCCAAGCCGTCTTTGCACAGATGTCGGAACCTGCAGGCTTCGCTGACCTTGCCGGGCAGAGGAAAGGTACCAGCTGGGTGGTATTCACAGGGCTGAAGTAGCTGAGGCCCCCATGCCGGGGTGGGGTGTGGAGGAGGCGGCCTGCTGTCAGGCCCCAGACGCACAAGGCTCCTTTCAGACACCGTGGCTCCAGAAACGCCTGCTCATCCAGCTCTGAGCTAGGGCTCTGTGCCCTCTGGTAACCCTGATTCTGAGCCGTGGTTGGTCTCGGGGCCGTTTCTGAGCCTTGTGGATCTGGGACCCCGAGAGGCCCCAGGGTCCGGGCCAGCCTTGGCTCAGTGCTCACATCCAGCAGGATGTGTGGACGCCCCGCCTGGGTGTGGACACTGCCAAGTCAGGGCTGGTCTGGGGTGGGGGTGGTGCATGGAGGCGGGTGCCGGCTGTGCCGCCGGCCAGGCTGCTCTGTCCCCAGCGCCCCCTCCCATCCTCCAAGTGTGGTCCCACGTGTCTGGCGCTTTCTGGCCACCCATGCGAGGGTCTCCCAGAACCTAGGTGTATTTTTAACATTTTTACGGAAAATCCTGAGTCTGCACAGAAGTAGACAGGAGAGGCCTATGCACCCTGCATGCCTGTCACCCACCTTCGGGGTCACTTCTTGGTTGACCTATCCTGCCCCCTGCTGTTCCCTGCACCGCCCCCCACAGGCACCTCATTCACCCTTAACCCTGAGTCCGCACAAAAGGTCCGACTTCTGTCACGCAGACTCTAAACCATCAAATCTTAGGTCCCCCAGCCCCTGCCTTCAGTGTCCAGAACCTGCCCCCGTCTCCCACCCCCTGGCTGAGCTGCCCCTGCCTCCTGCCCGCTCCTGAGCCCCTTCCCAGACCAGTGGCCATGTGGCCACTGCGAATGGATGCGGCACAAACCCGCTTGGCCCCCAGGCTCCAAGCTCTTCCCCCAGCCTGACGGCCAGTCTGACCTCTACCCAGTGTGGCTCTCAGTGCCCTTGCCCACTGCCCTGCAGCCACACCGGCCACCCGCTGTCCCCCTGGCCGCCCACTGTCTCATGACCACGCAGCATCCCTGACTGCTGCTGTCCCACTCCCCGGACGCTGCTTCCCTGTGTTCACGGCTCCTCTGTCCATCACACCTCGGCTCAGATGCCCTTGAGCTGGCTCGGCCCCTAGTCCTGGTCAGCCCTGCCCGCTTCCCATGGCGCTGGCCCAGGGTCTGTGCGTCCTTGTCTCCCATGACCCATGAGCCCAGGACGGGCTTGGAGGGGTGCTCGGGCACTTCTGTGAGGCGCACGGCCAGCTGAGCTAGAGTCTGGCCCCCAGGAGAGCCCCTGGTGGCAGAGGCCCGGGGCCACCTGTCCCTAGCTGAGTTGGGCACGGAGGAGTTCCTGCAGAAGCTCACCTCACAGATCACGGAGATGGTATCGGCCAAGATCACGCAAGGTGAGGGTGCCGACCGGGAGCAAGGCTGGGGGGCCGGTCTTCTCCCTGCCCACACCCTGGAGACCCACAGGGAGAGGGCTTGGGGGGCCGGCCCTTCCCAGGTGTCACAAGCCCTGTGCCCCCCAGGCAAGCTGCAGGTGCCGGGAGGTGACAGCGACGAGGAGTCCAAGACGCCGTCTGCGTCCCCGCGGCACGGCCGTTCGCGTCCCTCCTCCAGCGTCCAGGAGTCATCCTCAGAGTCGGAGGATGGGGACTCCCGGGGCGAGGTGCGGGCGCGGGTGGGGGGCTGGGGGACACGCACCTGAGTGGCCAACATCATCACCACGACCCAGGATACCCCATCACCTCCAGAGGTTCCCCGTTGCCCTTTGAGGGGGCCCCACCCAGCACCGGTGACAGGATTTCCATCAGCAGAGACGGGTGGGACCTGTTCTAGGACTTCATGGGCTCTCATAATGGCTCCTTCCTCGCCACTTAATGTTGGAGATCCTGCTGTCTGGGGCCTCGGGAGGCCTGTGGGCCCCTCTCCGGTACCCCTTCCTGTGGGGTCTCTGGGGGGCCGTCTGGGGCCTTGGGAAGCCCAGCTGGCCCCTCTCCAGGGCCCCCTCCCTCTGGGGTCTGTGGGGGGCTGTCGGGCCTTGGGAGGCCCTGCTGTCCCCTCTCCGGGTCCGACTCAGCACCCCCCCACAGATCTTTGACATCTACGTGGTCACGGCTGACTATGTGCCCCTGGGTGCTGAGCAGGACGCCATCTCGCTGCGGGAGGGCCAGTACGTGGAGGTGCTGGACTCAGCCCACCCGCTGCGCTGGCTTGTGCGCACCAAGCCCACCAAGTCTAGCCCCTCGCGGCAAGGCTGGGTGTCCCCCGCCTACCTGGACAGGCGGCTCAAGGTACCTGGACAGCGGGTGGTGGGTCCGGGGATAGCTGTCCCCCCATGAGGGCGGGAGCCTGACCTCACAGGTCAGGGTCAGAGCTCAGGCTGCCTGCGACCCCTCGCGTTTCTCACCAGCTGTCACCCGAGTGGGGGCCTGCCGAGGGCCCTGAGTTCCCTGGGGAGGCTGTGTCTGAGGACGAGTACAAGACGAGGCTGAGGTGAGGGGTCGCCGGGCCTTGAGGTGGTTGGGGTCCTGCAGGGCCTCTGAGGTGCTAATTCTGCGAGAGCCTCCCAGCCGGCCCCGCACCAGCGACACCTGTCTGGCCACTCCGTGTGGCGGGGGGCTTGTTGGGGGTGTGGCCTTTCTGAAAGTGGGCGGCGGGCTGCACACGCTGCAGAGGTGGCCCTCCCGGTTCCAGCAGCTGAGCCTCAGGGTCTTTCCCCACTTTGCCTTCCAGCTCCGTCATCCAGGAGCTGCTGAGCTCGGAGGAGGCCTTTGTGGGCAGGCTGCAGTTCCTGCAGAGCCACCACATGCGGCACCTGGACCGCTGCCCCCACGCACCCCCCGCCGTGGCCAGCCAGAAGGCGGTCATCTTCCGAAACGTGCAGGACATTAGCCACTTCCACAGCAGGTGGGAAGGCAGGGCGGGCCTCAGGTGTGCGCACACGCACGGTCGCACACGGGGACACACGGGTGCCCTCGGACACAGGCATGAACTCATGTGCGTGTGGACACACAGGACGCACGTACCCACGCGTGCACATTCACATGCATGCAGACACGTGCACCTGGACACGCACACGTGGACACGTGCCCCCGTGGGGCTGGGAGGTGCGGGGATGGGCAGGAGCCTGGGAGGGAGAGCATTTGTGCACCTGATTTACCTGTTGGCCCCCATGCCCTGTACAAGGACACATGCGCTTGGCTTACCCATGCGGGTGCCTGCTGCAACCCACGTTCATGGGCACGCCCCAGGAAGTTGCGCACACGTCCACCTGTGCACACCAGCACACGTGCACGTGCTCTCACACGTGGTGACATGAGTACACAGCACAGTCCGACACGCATGCCTGCATGCTTGTGTGCACAAGTGTACACGTGCACACATGCTTACACGTGCATCCAGCACACGTGTGCATGCCTATTCCTGCACACAGCAGGCATGCACATGCAGGCACGCCCTCACATACTGCACACGTGTGACCCCCCACAGCCCAGCACGCTCTCTCTCGGGAACCCGGCACTGGGCAGGAGGCTGTTTCTTCCCAACACTAGGGCTCAGGGCTGGGTCTGGGGTTGTGAGTGGGGGTCCTGGGGTCAGCCCTCACCTGACCACTGGCCCCTTTGTGGCAGCTTCCTGCGGGAGCTGCAGAGCTGCGACACGGACGATGACGTGGCCATGTGCTTCATCAAGAACCAGGCGGCCTTTGAGAAGTATCTGGAGTTCTTGGTGGGCCGGGTGCAGGCCGAGGCGGTGGTGGTCAGCACGGCCGTGCAGGAGTTCTACAAGGTGCCCCCTGCCCTGATGGGGGCCCGTCAGCCCTACCCCTGCCCCCGCATCAGTGCTGGCCCTGGCTCTGAGCTCCTCTTCCTTTACCCTGCCTAGGTCCCCTCAGCCTGCCCGGGCCCCCCGGGCCTTAGCTTAGCGAGAAAAGCAGGCAGAGTCCCCGAAGCTCTGCTCACCTGTCAGTGAGGCAGGCCATCGCCCGGGGTGGGGTGAGGCCCTCCGGGGTGTGGGGGACTGCGTGTGCGTGTGCACCCCCGGGGCCCCAAACACCAGCTCTGGGGCTCTGATGACACGGGCTGTCCGGGGCTGCGTGTTCTGGCCCCGAACGCCACCCTGCGATCCCCACAGAAATACGCCGAGGAGGAGCTGTCGGCCGCAGACCCCTCGCAGCCACCCCCGCCTCCCCTGCAGCACTTCCTGGAGCAGCCGGTGCAGCGGCTCCAGCAGTACCAGGCCCTGCTCAAGGTAGGTGGGGCCAGCAGGGCACTGCGGGGCCACACACCCCCCCCCCGCCCAGCCACCCCCAGACACGCTCTGACCCACCGTCTCTGCAGGAGCTGATCCGCAACAAGGCGCGGAACGGGCAGAACTGTGCACTGCTGGAGCAGGCCTATGCGGTGGTGTCGGCCCTGCCCCAGCGTGCCGAGAACCAGCTGCACGTGTCGCTCATGGAGAACTACCCAGGCACCCTGGAGGCCCTGGGCGAGCCCATCCGCCAGGTCCAGGGGCCGGGGGCGCGGCGGAGGGCCTGGGCAGGGCGACGGGGTGGTGGGGGCCGTGTCAGGGGCTGCACCGCAGGCTGGGCCCAGCTGACCGCAGGCTGACCGCTCCCCCAGGGCCACTTCATCGTATGGGAGGGGGCGCCGGGTGCACGGATGCCCTGGAAGGGCCACCACCGGCACGTCTTCCTGTTCCGCCACCACCTGGTGGTCTGCAAGCCCAGGCGTGACTCGCGCACCGACACCTTCAGCTACGTCTTCCGGAACATGATGAAGGTTTGCAGGGCACCGGCCCAGCCTGGCGGGGAGGGGGCAGGGGGCCCTGCAGGGCGGGTGGAGGCTGGCGGCTGATCCTGCGGCCAGGACCCCGTCCATGGTGACTGAGCCTCAGCGTGTGTCTGCGTCCTGCCCCCACAGCTGAGCAGCATCGACCTGAATGACCAGGTGGAGGGGGATGACCGCGCCTTCGAGATCTGGCACGAGCGGGAGGACTCGGTGCGCAAGTACCTGCTGCAGGCGCGGACGGTCATCGCCAAGAACTCCTGGGTGAAGGAGATTTGCGGCATCCAGCAGCGCCTGGCCCTTCCCGTCTGGCGTGAGTGCCGGGCCCTGGCGGCGAGGCCTGACGGGGGACTCGAACCTTTCAGCCTTGCCGCCTGCCCGGGTGGCACCAGGAAGGGGCTCCATCCTGGGGCAAACGGCTCCCTCTCCGCTCTGTCAGCTCAGCTTCTCGGGAGCCCTGAGCTGGGGTGTCGGGCCGGCCCTGACCCGAGTGTGGGGAACCTCGGGGAGACTAGGGAGCCCCAGCACAGGGCAGCACCCAGCCGGGGTGAGGGGATGTGAAGGGCCCAGCAGCACTGGTTCTGCTTCCTCACCTGGAACAGAGAGAGGCTCCCCTTTCAACATGCCCTCCTTCTCCACAGTCCCCACTGTGCCTCAATATCCACCCAGCCTGCCTCCCTCACCCTGATTCTTATCCAGGCCCCAGTGTGGGATCCTGGGCAAAAGATCGCAAGGGATGGTGGTCGAGCAACCACACCCTGGGTCGTGGGGCTTCTGGCCCTACCAGGGATGCACCTGAGAGCACTGGTGAGTCCCCCACGGAGCGCTCAAGGCCTGGTGTGTGTGTGCGTGTCCCCAGGTCCCCCAGATTTCGAAGAGGAGCTGGCTGACTGCACGGCTGAGCTGGGTGAGACGGTCAAGCTGGCCTGCCGTGTGACGGGCACACCCAAGCCCATCGTCAGCTGGTACAAAGGTAGGCCCTGGTGCCCAGGGATGCGGACCCTGCAGCAGGCAAGAGCCGCCCAGGCTGGGCAGGGGCCCAGGACCCAGGGTGGGGCCTGGTTGGGGCTGGGCATGAGGGACAGGCCTCCTGTTCTGGTTGCCTGCCCCCAAATCACAGACAGCCTGGCGGGGGTGCACAGTGGACGAGAAGGGGCAGGCGAAGGGTGTGCATCCGTGTTTCTGACGCAGTGAGCCTGCCCGCCGCCGAGTCTTGCTTCTTAGCTGTCACTTGACCAGTTTGCACTGAATGCCAGGTCCCGCTGCAAGTGCGGGGGAAACAGCAGCGAACAGGCTGGCAAACCCTGTCCGAGGGGGCTGACCTTCTAGGGGAGGAGACAGACGACAAGCAGGCAGACAAACGCGTGATGTGAAGTGGGGAAGTGACAAGGCGGCCAGGGAAGTAAGGCATAGTGCGGAGCAGAGAGTGATGGCAGCCAGGCCCCTCCCAGGTGGACCATTGGGAACTGGGCAGCGAGGCAGCCAGAGGGGAGGTTGGGGAGGTAGGGGCCACGGCGGGGGGTCTCATATTTGCCTTTGCAGGTGATGGAGCTGCAGAGTTTGGGGGTCCCCACAGCCACCCTCACTTATCATACTAGCTGCAAGGTGGGGGGTCCCAAGACCACCTTCACTCTGACACCAAGGTGGGGTGCCCCAAGACCACCTTCGGGTTCACTGATTCGCTGGAAGGACTCCCAGAACTCAGCAGAGCCGTCCTGCTCAGGGTTCCGTTGATAGCACAGGAAGGGAAGAGGCACTCGGGGCGGGCCCGGGCAGAGTCTGGGCGTCCTCTGTGGGGGCGTGTGGGTGGCGCCTGCTTCTCCTGCGTTGATATGTGGCCGCACTTGGAGTGTGGCCAACCAGGGCCACTCACTGAGCCCTCGCGTCCGGGGTTGTGTTGGGGGTCATTCTCGTACCGTGCTGACCACCGCCCCTCCAGAGGTCAAGGTGACGCGCGTGGCCCAGAGCCCCCACCCTAAATCACCACGTAGCGTAACTGTCTGGAGTGGTCCGAGGCCTCCAGGTGAACCAGGACGCTCTTGTCGGGGGTCGTCTGGGCTCGCGGGTCAGCCTTTCCGCTGGCAGATAAGCCCCTGAGTCCCCAGTTCAGTCTGAATAACCGAGTCCAGCCCTGGTTTTGGAGGAGCCATCCCAGGCAGTCAGTCTCTGGTGCCCTACTCGACCACCACCAGCCAGGGGCATTTGTCCGCCGAGGAACGGCTAAGGGTGAGGTTGGAGAGGACACAGGGGTGTTTTGCTGGAACACGCAGGAGGGGCCATCCTGAGTCCCTCGGTCAGCGCCGCAGGCTGGAGCCGTGGGTACAGCAGCTGTTTCCTGGTGGCGGCTTGGGCGAGCCATCCCTGAGGTCTTCCTTCTGAAGCGGGGCCCACTGCCCCACGTCCTGAGGTCCTGGAGGTCCCTTCCCAGCTGCCTCCTGCACAGAAGCTGTGGGGTGCAGCTCCCCCCAATCCCTCCTCTCACGCAGACCTTCCTCCTGGGAGGGCGGCTTCCCAGAGACAAAGCTGTTCATAAAAGTTATCTGGCAGTGAGGACGAGTCGCTCGGACCACCTCTCCTTTTGGCCAAGCTGCCCTCAGACGGGTGTGCCGACTGGGCCGCGTCTGACGGGACAGAAGGACGCACTTTGCCCAGGAACCGTCAGGGAGGGATCTTGGCTCCCCAGCCACACCTAGGCCATCCTCAGTCCCTTTCATCCTGGCTGTTACGAAGTGAGCAGCCTGGAGGGGTTGACCCCTCTCTGGGGACGGCTGCATCCAGTGAGCAAAGGAGTGAGGAGCAGCCAGGCGGTCAGCTCACATTGACACAGGTGGTCGCACTGCAGATGGTGCAGGCGGCACACGTGGCCAGAGAGTGTGGCGGAGCCGGCCGTTCACTGACCCCAAATGGCGACCTGGTAGGAAACACCACAGAGCACCAGGAGGTGAGGGTCGGCCAGGCTGGGGGTCCACCCGATGCAATGTGCCCCCCAACTCAGAGTGTCTCTCTCAGCGTGGCATTCTGTGGGGCTCAGCGCCACGGAGAACCCTGGCAGTCTGGGTGTGGAGCCCCCATCAGTGGCCTTGCTTCACTTCCATGGCTCACAGCCCCAAGGAAGCCAGTCTATAGTGTGTAAATCGAAAACAAGCCAGGCCGTTTGCTATGGCTCAAGGGCAGTGAGCACACACGACCCTGGCCAGGAAGAGTCGCAGTGGGCAGAAGTCAGACTTGCCAGCCAGCAAAACATCAGCTAGACCGTGGAAGCTCCCAGAGTCGGGGGCAGAGGGCCAGGTCCTGATCCCCCCAGGGCAGCCGCCAGCGCAGGAGCCCTGGAGATGTGCATTAGAGACCCTGCAACAGGAATGCAAAGCAGTCGTGGTCGGAGTGCCCACAGGACAGAAAAGCAGGCGTCTGAAATCCTGAGACTCCTGCAGGAGCTGTTAGCCTACAGTGGACCATCACGGCCACCCTGTGCCACAGGAGCAGTGGCTAGATGGGGCTGTCAAGGATCACCACCAGCTGCCAGCTCCCTGTGGCCATCCAAGGCCGTTGAATTGGGACACTGCCTCTCTGGTTACCCCAGCTGCCTTCCTGTCACCCAGGAGGCCCCGAACTTCCTTTCTTTTCCTGAGTTCTGTTGGGTAACCCGGGAAGGGCCAGATTGCTGGGCTGGGGCTGGTTATGTGCTCCATGGCCACCTCTCCATGTGCAGGGCGTCCCCACTGGGAACGTCCCCCCACCACGTGTGGGGCAGGGAATCCCAAACACAGCAAACGTCGGGTCCAGAGGAAGGAACCACAGCCACCGCACCCTCACTTGGCCCCAAGGGGATGCCACCTTCCCCACTCACTCGGAATCTTGTGCAAATCCCGTCAGTGGAATCTGGGCGCCTGTATCTGGCAGGGCAGTGTAAACCTGAGTTCTTCCCCGCCCGAGGTCCTGGCATATTGGACGGGCACTCAGGGCCTCTGGGCCCTCTGGGCACACAGAGACGGCAGCCCACCCTTGATCATTTTCCTCTTAAAGTGTCGGAGGTCAGGGAAGAGGAGGAAGAGGGGGTCGGGGGTGGGATGGAACAGGACACACTTCCACGGCTCAGTAACATCCGGTGTTTGGGGCTCACCCAGAGACCTGAATGGGGCAGCAAGATCATCGCTGCCAACACCGTCGGTTCCAGCTTTGGGGACCCCTTGACATAACAGCCTCATCACACTGCTCCCCAGGGCTCTGCACTGGGTTTAACTTGTGAGGTGGTGACCTTCGGGATGGGGCCTGCATGGCAGGGGCGTCGCTGGCCGAGAGCCATGGTGATGGCCCGCCTCTCTCTGGGTCTGCCTGTGAGGGCTGAGCAAAGTTCCCGAGGAGGCAAGGCTACCTGTCAGGGGCACCGACGTCCCTTTGGTCACCTTTTTCTTCCCCAGCTGTCACCAGTGTTAACAGATGCCGTCCAGGTGCCATGAGCCCACGGGCCAGCCATCGACGGTTCCCCGTGGGGTTTGTCTGTGTCAGGGAGACGTCCCGGGCAGGGCTTGCTGCAAACACTCGGCTCCTTTAATGTTGTCTCGGGAAGAACTCTTCAGTGTGTTTGGTGCCTGTGCCTCAGAGTTCTAGCCCTGCTCCTGCCTCTGCCCCTTGGGCTTGGTGACAGCCCTCCACTTGCACCCAGCATAGGTGTGTTTCTGTGACCTGTCTGAGGGATATGGAATCTTCCTTGGACCCAGCACAGGTTCTAGCATTTGGTGGGAACTGAGGCCACCTGAGACACGTCCCACCTCCAAGGAGAGAGCGCGTCAGCCAAGGCACCGTCCCGGTGTCCGTCTGAACCCACGGCTCGCTGCTCAGACTGTGGCCACCAGCCCGTTTTCTCTCCATTCATGGGCAGCAAAGGACGTGGCTATTTACTGCCCAGCTGACCATGTGGTCGGATCAGCCTGTCCACCACCAGCCCCCTGGACCTCCCTCAGGTCCTGTTAGTTGGTCCATGGGCCGCCTTTTTTCCCTTCTACAATGCTGTGTCTCCGACAGTGTCCCTTCCTTATCACCAAAATAGCAAATCAGAAACTGTGAAGAGTCTGAGATGTTTCCCTGCTTGCAAGCCAGCAAGCCAGCCGCCAGCCAGATACGGACAGAAGACACAAGGCCCTCAGGTTGGAGACCAAGACTCTGTCACAGCAACAGCAGCAGTGTCCTGCCTGGGTTGCCCACACCCCGGTCACCACGTCGGGGGCCAGGGGACCAGTGTCTTGCAGTGGGCTGCACCACAAGAGAGGAGCCCCCAAGTCTAGGAGATGCGGAGCTGCCATGGGGCTGCCGGTGCGTTTGCCCGTCCTTCCCTCGAGAGGAGTGACTCGTGGCCCTGGAAGGCAGGGGTCTCCTGGGGAGGAAGGAGGGAGCTTTGTCTCTGCTGCCCTGACGGCCCTGGGGTGTCTCCTTACACAAGCAGCCCAGACCTGGCTGCAGCTGCCTTTGCCCGGAGGCTCCGGCCGTGGGGGATGCCAGAAGTCCACGGGAATTGATTTCTGACGGTGAGCTGAGGACTGGGGACTGGCGGTGGATGGAGGATGTCACCGTAGCCTGGCGAGAACGGTTCTGTGGGCGAGGTGCACGCCGAGGGCGTGGGTTTGGGAGAGGATGGACCGGGAGCAGCTGCAGACGGGGAGTGAGAACAGCTCTGTCCTGGAATCGCCATATAGAGGCACAGAGAAGTGGGCAGCTGGACGATTTGGGGTTTTTTGTATAATTTAAAGTCATTTCTTAAGGTTCCCTGTGAATCAGAAGTCAAGTGCTGCCTAAGAACTGTCATAATTGAAACAACCTTGTTCAGAACACGCAGCTCTGTTGTGAAGTATTCCTCTGTGAAATTTTACATATTTAGGGGGAAAGAGTTCTTTGTAGCAAAAAATGCACATCTCCGTCCTTCCCCCAGGAAGAGGCTCCTGAGGGCTGGAGATGTAGGTGGGGGGGGGGCACTCGGACGAGGGTGATTAAAGAGGTGGGTGGTCTGAGCACAAGGCGGGGGTCAGCGCCTTGGAGGTCCCCAGGGAGCCAGGTGATTGAGGGTCTGGCTACCAGAATGGGGTGTCCTCTGCAGGGTCGGGTCCCCCAGCCTGGCCCCTGCCTCCAGCTAAAAGCCCACCTTCCAGAGGCCACAGCGGGCACAGGGGTCTGGGCAGCAGACGGAGTGGGTCAGTGCCGCCCTCCATCCAGGGCTCCAGGTCAGCTAGGCCAGCTGGACCCCAGTGGGGAGCCCACACCCAGCCCTTGTGCTCCAGGGGCAGCCCCTGTCACCACCCCCTGTGACTGTGACCCTCAGGCAGGCCCAGCCTCTTGTCCCTGATGGGGTCCCCTCCGTGACAGCACCCCTCCTCCTTTCCAGATGGGAAGCCGGTGGAGGTGGACCCCCACCACATCCTCATCGAAGACCCCGATGGCTCATGTGCCCTCATCCTGGACAATCTCACCGCTGTGGACTCCGGCCAGTACATGTGCTTCGCAACCAGTGCCGCCGGCAACGCCAGCACCCTCGGCAAGATTCTGGTGCAAGGTGAGTGCCCGAGCCGCCCCAGCGAGGAGGCCCCCTGGGAGCACAGGCCTGCAGGTGGGGCTGGCGGGGGTGCTGTGGTCTGGGGGGCTCACTGGTGTGTGTGGGGTCCTGCTCCATCGTGGTGTCTCTCTCTGTCTCTCTATCTCTCTGTCTCTGTCTCTTTTTCTCTCTCTCTCCCTTCCCCGCCGCCTCCCACCCGGCAGTTCCCCCTCGGTTTGTGAACAAGGTCCGGGCGGTGCCCTTTGTGGAGGGAGAGGACGCCCAGGTCACCTGCACCATTGAAGGTGCCCCGCACCCTCAGATCAGGTGGGCTGCATGGCTTGGGGTGGGTGGACTAGGGAAGGGGAGCCTTCACCAGGATTGTCCCTCCTTCCTGTAAAATGAAGGGGGCAGCATGTTCTCCGGGTCAGGGGTGGGCTGGACACAGAACCTCAGCCTTTCCGGTGAGAAGTGGGTGTTGCAGGGCTGAGGCCCGTTCTGACCACGGTCCTGGCTGCAGCGAGTGGCACGCTGGCCCGGATGGACATTGGGTGGGTGGTGTGGAGAGTGTGGGTTCTGTTACGACACTTGGATCTGCGGGCGGGAGAGGAGAGGGTCCCAAGCACAGGGGGCCTGGGGAGGCCCTGCCTCACCACCCTGGGGTCACTGCAGGTGGTACAAGGATGGAGCCCTCCTGAGCCCCGGGGGCAAGTTCCAGACCCTGAGTGATGCCCGCAGTGGCCTGCTGGTGCTGGAGATCCGGGGGGCTGGCAAGGAGGACCTGGGCCACTACGAGTGTGAGGTGAGGCCGGTGGGTGCAGGGGGAGGGGGCGCCGGGGCGTCCTGTCTTGTGGACCCCACGATTGTCACCACCATCCATGACATATGATGAGACCGAGGACACCAGACCCGCTGTCACCCACCATCCATGACGAGGGGACAGGGACTGAGGCCCTGGGTGGAGTGCCCACAGGTAGTCTGGGAAGGTGCATGCCAGCTGTGGCTCTGCCCAGCTGCCTGCCTCCCTGACGCTACTGCCTGCGGCCGAGGGCGGCCATGTGGCGCCTGCCCCATGGCAGCTCCCAGAGAAGCAAATGGACCCAAGTCAGTTCTGGACCTGAGCTGTCCAGTTTGGCCACTGGTGTCCACATGTGGTGATTTAAATTTGAGTTGGTGAAAGTTAGCTCTAGCTGAAGATTAGGTTCGACTTCACGTGCTCAGGGCCCACAGGGCCACCACACTGGACAGTGCAGGTAGAGCATGTTCCCACCATTGCAGGAAGCTCTGGGGCAGCGCTGGGTGTCCGTGGAGACACGGTGGCTGGGCTGGGACCCTTTCCCCTGTGGCCAGGCATTGGGGCTCTGCAAACAGCCAGGGCGGGCCCTGCATCCTGCACAGCCCCGAAGAGACATCCCAGGCCCCTCTAAGCAGGCCCCTGCCATCCGTCCTGCAGTTGGTGAACCGGCTGGGCTCCACCCGGGGCGGGGCAGAGCTGTCCATGCAGAGCCCGGCGCTGCGGGCCCGGGAACAGCGCCGCAGGGAGCAGCTGGCCGCTGTGGAAGGTAAGTGCTGTGCTGCCAGTCTGAGGCAGGGCCGGACCCTCCATACGCCTGGGCAGGGCCAGGTGGGGGAAACCATTAGCTCTTCCATTGAGGGCACGCTTCCTGGAGGAGGGGCAGCGAGGGCCGCTGGCTGGGAGAGGAGGGGGCTGCAGAGGCTGCAGGGCAAGTGCTGGTTCCCAGCCCACAACTGTGGGCTGGCCAAGGGTGGGCCGTGAACCAGAGCCCGGGAAAGACTGGAGGCGCAGTCGTGGGTGTGGGGGACCCCTAAGCTCTGCTTACCATCCCTGGAGGAATAACAAGTGTGTATAGAAGCCAGGCCCAGCGCAGCCCACTGGGCAGTGGTCAGGAAGGTCTTGTGCGAGGAGTGGCAGGGACAGTGGGAGGAATGGCTCCACGGAAGAGGGGGCCCCTGCCAAGTGCAGAGTGAGGCCATTGGTCCTAGCTTGGCTCCCAGGAAAGGAAACGGGTCTCAGGGGCCCGGTCCTTCCATACGGGGTGGGGCTGGCCGTGGAGAGGACAGAACGCCATGGCTCAGCCTCCCTGGCCTGGCCTGGCCTGGGTCCCCCCTGGGGTCCTGGATGGTGACTGGGCTGCACAATGGGCCTCACTAGGGAGAGGTGTACTCCTGGGCAGGAAGTGGGGGGGGGGGCAGAATGCCTCATGCCTTCACTCACGTCTGGGCTCCGGTGTCCCAGCTGGGCCCAGCTCCGGGATGGCCGTGATGGGGAGGAGGGCACCTGGCATCTGTCCTGGGCCTGCTCAGCCCGAGAGAGCAGCCTTACAGGGCTTACAGGGTGGGCTGCGGCCCCAGGGAGAGCTTCCCCCTGTCTGAGCTGCCTCACCTGGAAGGGGCTGCCTGGGCGGTGGTGAGCCTCCAGGCCCTGGGCGCATGCAAGCAGAGGCTGGGCCAACAGTTCTCACAGTAGGATGGGTTGGAATGTGTCTTCCGAAGTCCTGAAAGTTGGCTTCTGTGATACCTTGGGCCACTAGATCCAGTCCCTCCGAGGGCTCAATGTCTGGGGGCCACTGTCCATCGGGACCCTCACAGAGTCGGGCCACCTGGCACCTGGAGCCCTGCCTCGGGGCCTTTGGCGCCCTCCAGGGCCCTCACTGAGGCCCCTCCCTCCCTCGTGGGCAGGGGTCCTCTTCCTCGCCCCCTGAGAGCAGCCGGCACTGCTGGAGCCTGTGCCCACTGGAGGCCCTGTGGTGTCCCTTGCACCTCCACTTCCTGCCCTGTGGCGTCTCACGTCAAGGAGGTGCTGAGCGGGGACTGTGTGCTCCCTCTCAGCTGGTAACAAGCACGTGCTGCAGAGCCGTTCACTCGTTATCACAACGGGTCTGTTCCCGTCAATGTCCTCCGGCCACGGGGGCAGAAACAGCGTTGGTGCCTCACGCGGCTAGAAGGCTGGTCCTTGTAGACCCTGGAGTTGGAGCCTGCCACCTCCTGCTTCCTAACCCTGTCCTGCCGCTTCATCTCTAACCTGGTGGCTCCGCAGCCAGAACGGGCCCTGGCTGGCCCTGTGGGGGGGGCACTGCCCCCTCGCTTGTGAAACCGCGCTGGGCCGGGAGCCCCGCTTCGCATGGCTGCACCCTCCCATGGTTGCCCCACTCACCAGGGCCCAGTGCCCGTCAGGCGGCAGGTTAGGTCAGGTCAGGAACAAAGGCACCAGGAGTGTAGCAGCCCAGAGGTGCCCTGGTCTCCACCCTCAAAAGCAGCAGAAGGGGGCCCCAATCAAGAGGACGCAGGAAGGAGTCCTGGGTTCCCCCAACCCTCTGCGCACAGGGTCTGGCCTGCAGGCCGTGAACAGGCTGGCTCCTCTGGGCCCAGCTTAGTCTAAACACACAGGGTATTTTGGCTTGATCTCATCTCTCCCAGTGGGCTCCCCTCTTCAGAAGGCAGCTTACACAAACACACATGCATGCACACATGTAAATGCATGCACACGTGCACACAGTAAATGTGGCTCCCACATGCCACACAGACACAGTTAGTACATTTAATTCATGTGCAGCTATCAGAGACATCTAAAGGCACCTAATTGGAACCTTCAGCAAGTCATAATCTTTTTGCTAGTGGAGGGTCTTGTAAAAAATGCAGTATCTGCAAAGCACAGTAAAGCAAAGCACAATAAAACGAGGTAGGCCTGTACTGTCGGTCCTCTAAGGGAAAGCCTTTCTGTATGTGGCACTGCAGCGAAGGAGAAAATCCTCCAGAGCAGGAGGCAGGAGGCTGTGTGCCCCAGGCCACGCCATTTGACTTTTCTGAGCCTCCCCCTCAGTTTCCCTGTGGGATGGCAAGAGGGGCTGTTGAAATGTGAGGGTACAGGTAGCCAGTGGAATGCCTACTGTCCAGGTGGGCAAAGCTGGGAGGGGGCATCTCTGTGCCAAGCCTGACCCTGGCCAGAGGCTGCAGGAGAAGAGGCCTCGAGATGGTTGGAGTAGGTGCTGCCTGGTCCCAGATGAGTCCTGTCCTGTCTCTGGGACTTCGGTCCCCCATCTACAAAATGGGAACCACAGGCTGTATCCTACTGGCTCCAGGGAGGAGGAAAGCTAGGAAAGTCAAAAGAGAGAATTGAGTTTGTGGGGTGCTCCTAGGAAGACCTAGGTTTCTCTGCTCACTCGGAGCTCAGGACCCTGCCCGGGCACCCTCAGGTTGCTCCCAGTGGGACTTCCATGGCCTCCTGCCACGCAGCTCAGATGTGCTACCTCTGAGGCTCCAGAGTCGCTCTCCCTGGAGAGGTGCTTTTTAGTCTTTCGGACTTTCTTCTAAGTCAGGCGTCAGCCGTCCTAGTCCAGTGTGGCTGCTGGCTCACCATGCAGCCACAGGCCATTCCTCCTCCTCTCTAGGCCTCAGTTTCTGTCTGTGAGAAGTGGGACTTCAGGCCTGACAAAATTCACAGGGCTCTCTGGGCACGTGGGCTGAAGGAGAAGCTGGGGCCTCTGTGTGGGCAGCCTGGCAGGGCCCTCACTCTCCCTGAAGCTTCTGCAGGACCCTGAAGAGGGATGGCGGCCCTCCCTGGTGTGGGACGCGTTGCTGTCGTACCTCCCATCCCCCAGCCATTCAGGGCAGACATTGTCACCTCCATTTCAAAGGTGAGGGAATGGGGGGTCTAAGCTGTGACAGTCCTCCCAGGGGCACACAGTGAGGCAGGTTTTGGATCAGTGCTCCTGAGCGGAGCAGGTTACTACGCTGCCATGCCACTCAGATAGCTCAGTCCCTGTGTGCTGGCTGACCAATAATCCTCGCTATTCCGACTGTTTTCTTTGTAGTCACTGAGCAGGAGACTAAAGTCCCCAAGAAAACCGTCATCATGTAAGTGCAGGCGTGTTCCTAACCTTCCTTCTGACTGCAGTGCCCCTGCATGTCCACTAACCTGCCTGGACCCTGCCCCTGTGGCCCAGCCTCCTGCTTGCCTGACTCCTGCCCACGCGGCCTTTGCTCACCGCGCAGATTGCCAGAACCTTGAGATACTCCCCAGGGACTTGAGCCACCTCTACGCTTCACAGCTCTCTTCCAGGGTCTCAGGACCCTCTCCAAGGCCCCATTGCCTCCGCAGGGTAGACTGATTCTGTGTACCTCACAGTGGCTCACCCAGGGCTTGGACCCAGAGTCACACCAGTTAGGACAGGAGTTGGGGCTGTGGAGCTGCTTCCTGCAGTGGGCTAGAGGCAGAATTCTGCCCTCAGTACCCTTGGGTGCAGGACCCTGTTGTCCAACAGAACGTCCCACGATGATGGAAATACTCTGTATTTTCACTGCCCACTACAGCAGCCACTAGCTGCCTGTGGGTGTTGAGCATTTAAAATGTGTCTAGTGTGACTGAAGAACTGAATTTTAAAACTTATTTAATTTTCATGAATTGGAATTTAATTTAAATAGTGTAACCATAGTGGACAGTACAGCTCTAGGGCCTTGGAGTTCTCCGAGCCCAACCCTCACATTAGGAAGATGGGGAAACTGAGGTTCAGGGAAGAGAGGAGGCTTGCTCGGGTGGCTCCTGTTTGGAAGCCAGCTGAGAACCCGTTTCCCTGGTGCCACGGCCGCTGTCCCTTTCTTCCTCCTTCAGTGCCTTCAGGGCTGGGGAAGAGCCACATGTGTTGTTGACACTTCAGTGACACAGGGCATCTGGAGCTGGGTGAACAACAGGCGGTGGAAGTGGCTTTGACCTGGACAATCCGAGAGGGCTTCCAGTAGGAGGCGTGTGCAGATGGAGGTGGGAGAAAAGCTTGCAAAAGCCAGGAGGCAAGAAAGACTATGGTTTCCTAAGGCCAGACAACTGGGAAGCTCCAGGGTGGGGAACTTCTTAGTTCCCCATGGGTCCAAGACATCCTAAAGGGGCCTGCAGCTGGCCATGTGGCTGGAGAATGCCATCTTCAGACATTTGAGGGATCCTTGGGTTAACTCGTCCTTCACGTCCTCCCTCCTTTCCCAAAGCAGGTCACCACTCCATGGTAGATGGGGCTGCCTGGAGCAGCAGTAGGCACCCCATCCCTGGAGGCGTGCAGCTACGCCAGGGTTTTACACAAATCAGCTTCACCTGTGAGGGGACCGTTGTTGTATCTACATCTTATGATGACAAAATGGAGGAGCAGAGATGGGGCCAGGCAGCCCCGTTAGGGAGGCTGCAGAAAGGACTCAGCCTACAGGAGGCTGGACTAGATGACTCCTGAGGCATCCTCAAGTCCTGCCTATTGCAGGCTTAGGGAGGTGGAAACCCCTCACCCCACAAGGAAGAGTGTACCGCTTAGCTTGGTGAATGGAGAGACAACTGCCCAGCACAGCATCCCCCGCAACAACACTGGGAAGCCAGGGGATCCTAGAAGGAAACAGGGCTTGGAGAGAGACCCCTGCCACCTTGCAGCCCCCTGTGCTGTACCAGTGGCCTCAGAGCAGGATGTCCACATGCAGTCATGGGGAGCAGTGACCCCAGCAGGGGGGATGTCCACATGCCCTCGTGGGGAGCAGTGACCCCAGCAGGGGGGATGCCCACATGCCCTCGTGGGGAGCAGTGACCCCAGCGGGGGGGGATGCCCACATGCCCTCGTGGGGAGCAGTGAGCCCAGCGTGGGGGGATGCCCACGTGCCCTCGTGGGGAGCAGTGAGCCCAGCG